CCTAAAGTATACTTTAACTACTTTATTATAGTATAATACTAATTACCTAACATAAATAAGATTAAGGCACTTAACTATTATATTATATAGTAAATAAATAACCTTAACTATAGTTTATTATTTTACTTACTTAACTTTAAATCTATAAAGCTTTTTATTTTTATAAATAGATTATTTATAAATAATAAGGACTTTACTTTATAACTAGAATTTATTATTATTTTTACTAATAAGGTACCTATAAGTACTACTATAGGTAATAGATTTACTATAACTAGTAATATTATTTACTTTAGCTTAATAAAGTATAAGTAAGTTACTTAAAGTGTACTAGCCTTTAAGATCTATAGTATAGTTACTAATACTAATATTACTTATACACTTAGTATAACTATTATAATAATTACTAACTACCTTAAGCTACTATATATACTAATAATCTTTTATACTAACTTATACTTACTTTATAAGTGTTTTATTAAGCTTAAGACTATAAAAAAAAAAAGGCTTATAATTAATATTATAGCCCTTTAGTAGTTATATAAGTAATATAAGGTCTATAAGGTATAATAGATATAAGGTAATAATAATCTTATTAATAGATTTACTAAATTATTACTTAATAAGGTATTAGAATAACTAGTTAGAAATAGGATAGTTTAGATTAGTATAAAGGGATAAGTTTTTTAAGCTATATAACAGATTATATAAATAAAAAGTATTAAATACTTTTAGGCTTTTAATTTTTATTACGTTTTTAAGCTTTTTAGCTGCTAGATAGTATCTAGGCTATTTATAGTAATTTTCTTTTACTTTAGAAAGTTACTAGTGTTAGGATATTTAACTATTTAATAGTAGAGCTAATCTATAGTTATGTAATTTACTATTACGTAACTTACCCTAGCGGCTTACTTATACCACTACAAATATCTACAGTAACAACTTTTTCTTCTTTTTCTTATTATCTATCTTAACAAGCAACTAGTAGTTAATCAAACTATTACTGCTTTACGATCGCAATCCCTGTGATACCAACACTATAGTCTCCTATTCGACTCAGACGACGGCTCCCTCACAGACGACCACAAGACTATGAAGTGGGAAAGGATGGGAGAGAAGATTGCCGACCAGATCGGCCGCGACTTTAGCCCTGGCCCTAAACTATACAACTGGGTCACGGAAGCCGGCTTTCGCAACGTCACCCACAAGCACTATAAGATCCCGATCGGGCCCTGGCCCAAAGATCCCCACTACAAAGACCTCGGGATGCTCAACCTGATGCAGCTGATGGATGGTCTCGAGGCGTTCACACTGAGGCCGTTCTGTGGGGTCTTGGGGTGGACGACTGAGGAGGTCCAGGTGCTGCTTGCGCAGGTCCGCAAGGAGCTGAAGTCGGGCGACTTCCACGCTCACCTGAACTACCACGTCGTTTATGGTCAGAAGGTTGAAAGCGAGAAGGAGGAATAGGAGGGGCAATGAGGTCCTTCGGTAGTGTTCAGTAGATGTGTTCAGTAGATGTGTTCAGTAGATGTGTTCAGTAGATGTGTTCAGTAGATGTGTTCAGTAGATGTGTTCAGTAGATGTGTTCAGTAGTTCAGGCTGTGTACATACAGCGAGCACATGGCCCTTCGCATTCTCGGAAAGCTCAGGACCGATTTGTGACTAGGGCTCTGCAAATAGTATTTATATCTCGATGAACTAAAAGAGAAAATGGCGGCATAGGATTATCGTTGCTCAATCTGCGCTTCTGTACCGTCCCGTGTTGCTCGCTTCATCTGTTGGACTACTTCCTCCAGCCTTTTGGAGCTCCATATGCTAGTCGAACCGGCCTTCGTGAACAAATATGGTTCCCTACTGGGTAACAACATGGGGGAGCTACAAGCGCTGCTGTCGACACGTCTACGACATTGTGTGGTGTCGGATTCTCACACCGGAGAAGATCGGCAGGAGCTTCCCCCCCGGCGCCGCTCAATCCGACTAGAGAATCCGTCCATAATATCAACCTACTCTTGCCTCTAGTCTCGATCATCTTTGCGTGTCGTGGCTAGATGGAACGCATTGGTCGTGAGAAAGTGATAACCACGAGGATAACGTGTAAAGCAGGAGGCTGGGAGACTAAAGACGCAACGAAAGCACAGACGCCTGTGTTGCCCATCGAGGTCCTAGAAACAGCCGCTAATGGCAGTAAGGCCCGTCTCGCGGCCTTCCGACTCCCCTAGTCAGTTATGTATGTTATAACCCGGCGCAAAAGGTCCTAACGCTGTTATCCCACCAAGCAAACGTGGCTATCAACTGCTTGCTCACTGAGACTATCGAAGCAGCGCGTGGAGAAAGCTTAGTCGCGCTTGAACTGCCTCTGCGACGGTGCGATGAGGCGTTCAAAGAGTTCAATGGAGCGTTTGCGATGCTTGTCATAGTCTGGTGAGATCGCGTTAGCTTCCGTGGCTGGGCTAGACTGCAGTACATGGGCGATGACATCGATGAGTTTACGCAGCTCGTTACGGGTTACAAATCTACTATTAGCAAATCCCTCGCTGATGCGCAACTGTGAGTTCTATACGTCGTACGGAATATCAAGATTTGAATCAGGAAAAAGAGAAACACGATTCAATAGAGAGACGATCCATCCACGGTAGAATGAAAGCAAATGAATTAAAAAAGCAAAACTACAACCTGGCAAGAGACTGCAGAGACACTCCCGGGCGTCCTCCTCATATACCTCAATTAGCCCTCGCAGTTGGTTCCCAGTCTCACTGTTGAACCGCCTTCCTCCAGTCCTTTCTGCCGTCAATAATCCCGCATTTAAAACCTCTCATCCTATGCTTCTCATCCCATGATTCCCATGCCTCTCACTCTCTCAGACGTTCTGTTTCAAGAAGTGTGATCCGTCGAGCCCACTTCCTGAGCAGGTGGATTATTGAACATCGTGGTTATATTTGTTTGGGACTTGGATTTCGTGAACTTCGTGAAGCCCATCGACTTTTCAAAACTCTTTGTCGCGCTGCTTAGCCTACATGGGAAAGGTCCAGTTAGTTGAGAGCCGAGCTAAAGTAAAACATATGTTGAAATTAATAAGAACTTACGAGATCGACCGCCGACTCGTTTCGTTTCGGACGTTGTGAGGCATTGTCAACGTTGTCTTTAGCCAAGGACGTTGATCCACGAACTATAGAAGTGTTATTTTTGTCTGAAGCCCTCTAATGAAGATCAAGGGACCTTACAGATATTCATCAATCTTGGAAACAGTTCTGTGCCGCCGGCCAGTAAGTCACATATCATGGTTCTGTTCTTTGTGCGTAGTTCATGAAGTAGTCTCTCCACATCGGTAGTACGCATCGTCCAAAGTGTGGCCCAGAAAGTCGCTACCTCCACGTCCGGGTTCGGGGAGTTAATCAAAGACTTCACCTCAAGAACCAGTGCCTTTTTGCGGTAGTAGTCGCTGAGGTAGTCTCGCGCCTCCGGTTGACGCAGGGAGCATGCCTTGTCTGACTCTAAGAAGATTCTCAGTGTGGCCTCATCGACCACTGTGGCGTGGTGCTCTTGTTCATCTTGAAAGAATTCACGGACAAGGTTGCACGTTTGGTTGATTTTATTGGCATTGCCGATGAGTTGCGTGGATGAGAGCGACGACATGTTGGCCTGATTAGATGAGAGATGAGAGGAGTTCGTCTGATGAAAATAAGGGAAGAGAGGCTGTGATTGAGGAAGAGGAACAGGAGGTTAAGAGGAAAAGTTGAACCCGCAGGTTTGCGCTTGGTTGAGTGCGTACCTACCTTACCCTGCAAGGTAGGTGGGGGCAGCTGCGCGGGGTGCAGCAGCTTCCCGTTTGGCCAAAGGACCTTTCTACTATGTAGGAACCCAGGTAGGAAGGTACGTATCTAGGCAAAGATATCAGGCAGGCAGCACTCGTCAACAACAAACGCTGCCTAAGTTGCCACACCTGCAACAGAGAGCAAGTCTGTTTCTTACTCATAAATAGGTACTCTGTACCCTTTAGCCAAGAGTATATGATCACTTTGGCATGCCGCTTCATCAAAACGTCCTTTTTATGTGGTTTTGCTAGCAGAGATTAAACCAGCGATGCTTCAAGTCTTTTGTGTAGTCGCTTTGACACAAGTGAGTTTCTTGCATTCGCATGTAAAAAAACTCGGTTTACTTACTATCGATGGCCAAAAAGAGCAGGCGGGGGCTAGATTTGTTACTTACCTAAGGTACCTATTGTTCCCTTACCTCCTTCTATGGTCACTCTGACTTACGCAAGTGAGCTCCTTCAATGTTCCTTATCTTAGGTATTACGTGTCTACGATGTGTCTCTGTTGTAAGATACAAGATGCTTTTGTCAACAACACCCTATAATAACTCTGCTAAGTCTTCCGCAAAGGCCGAGCACACTTGCTGCGGACGAGGATTTGACTGACGTACTCGCGATAATAGATCAACCGTTAAGGCTGTGAGGGGGGCGGCAGCGTATGAGGTAACCGTGAGGCAACATTGAGAAGTGTTGGGAGAAAGATAGAGGGGGCGTAAGAGACTGTCGATTTCTTTGGGGCGGGTAGGCGATAGAAGTAGTGGCAGACGGAGGACGGTACAGCGGCGTAGGGGTAGTAACACAGCTAGATACCGTTTCACCTACTGAGTCAGCTAGAACCGTGTTTTTCTAGACAATTCAGCCCTCATTGGCTTACATATGGGATAGCGGACACCGAGTTCTCCAGTGGGCATGGTCGGATGTGGTAGTTTTCGCAGTGTATGCAAATTATGTAGATACATTGAACTTGGGCAGAGGGGTCTTGACAAGAAAACCACGGCTACAAAGTGAAGAAGAGACGTAAACATAATGACAACAGTGGCACGTAGTTTTCGTGAAATTTAATTGCCGTGTGGGAAATCTCGGTTGTTACCTATTGTTTGAAAAGGTTTATGCTTTGTCATGTCCTTAACCGAGTCAAGTTTGCGTGTTAGTGATCTGCCGCCAAGGTGAAAGGACCAACCAGTAGGATTGTTACTGTTGTTAAGCTTACACCTAGATGTTTTCCTAAAAGACTTGACGTGACGATTGACTGTCGGACTCAAGGCCCCAAGGTGTGAACTCTCCAAGAAGGCACCTCGAGGCAAACCTGATGATCTGGGTGTTCAGCAGTCGACATACTGCGGACCCGCATCGTCGTTTTGGCTGACGTTGGAAGCAGAGTTAAGGGACCCGGTGTTTCGGCCTCCCCCTTCAAGGTCCCTCGTATCTCCTCGACGACGGTAATGGTCCTTCGGTTCTTATTGTCCATTCGGAACTCTCGCTCGACCGGGACGGCAGCCGGAGGGTGATGTCTAACAGCGGGTCTCCACATTCCCGGGTTTTCGGCGACACAGACGTCGATGGGTCCACTTTTGCGGGATTCTGCCCGGTTTCAGACGGGGACACACCGCCGCCAACGTTATACTTTCTACCGAGGGCAGTCTAGCCCCCCCGCCCGGACAGCTCCCTATACACACGTAGGTAGTTGCATCACATTCTTCGCCGGTCTAACCCCTTCCACATCGGGCAGGGCAGGGCGAAAGGAACTGTTGGCGAGCCCCCTCCCAGGCGGAAGCAATGTTTGATGCCGCCCACCACACCCGACTCCTTCGCCCATTCAGTCCTCGAGCTCTTGAGTTCTTGAGCAGGTACTTTCGCTTTCCCTGGCCAGCCGCAAAGCGACCTGTTGGCGCTGGCCAAGAGCCAACGTCGCATCAGCACTTCGACACGAGGTTACATGGCTCCCGCCGCCAGCCAACACACACAACGCACGTAATATGGGCAGCACACAGTAGACCGATTTAGCTAGTTGAATGTTTTCAGGCGACGTCAAAGTGCTGTGCTGTCATGCTTTTCTTGCGAGAATGCAATTTGCATTGTTTTCCTCCTCCCACATGAGCGTCCACCACGACCGCCCCCTGCGCCCGGAGCAATGAGTAAATCGTCTATGTACATGAAAATAATAAGGTCTACTATTAGAATTTGCTTTTGTTCTCAGCCATAAGAATCGCAGGACCTCCATCAGAACTGAACGAACCATCCCTATTCGCCTAAACAGGCGTTATCCAAAAGCTGCTCTTGCCTTGTGTAACTTTCGTGCGTCTCTTGTCTTCCACTTGTTCGTCAGGGAGTGTCGTTGGGTACATCGTTATATCCATGCCGTCGTAGACTTGTGCTTGTCGTAAAAGCCATGCGGAAAAAGTCCCGTCATTAGAGGCGGACACTTCCGCCACCAGGCTAAAGGGAAGAAATGTAGACGAGGGCCAGTGAGAGGCCAAAGCATAGAGATTGAAAGGAGCGGAAAGCGAACGGTCAATGACTTATGAGTCGAATGCTTAGAGGAGCGCAACAACACCCAATATACCGGCAAAGACGGCAGCGGCCGGCGCCTTGCGGGCGTCCGCGGCATTGGGCGGGACGACCACTGGAGCGGTACTTGCGACAACAGCGGTCGACACAGTGGTAACAGGAACCGTCACCGCACTCGTAGTGGGCACGACGACGGTGTCGGGTGCTCTTGTCTGTGTAGCGTAAACTGTGCCAGAAACGGTGAGGTAGACCCAGGACTTCTGGGTCACGACGTCCTCGCCCCCGACGGTGACCGCCTGGGTGACCTCGACGTGCTTCGTCTTGGTCTCGACCAGGACTTCAGTGATGGTGTGTACCTTCTCAATGGTGACGGTCTTGGTTCCGGTAGCCGTCACCCAGTGAGTCTCGCCGTGCTCGATCGTCTGGTATGTGGTGACCGGCTTCGTAACAGTCTCGTATACCTCCGTGGAGAGTTGCTGGGTGGTCTTGACAGTGGTGTACACGTCGACCTTGGTAGGAACCTGTGTCACTATGGTTGACGTGGAGGTCCATGTGACGACGACCGTCTCTCCGCCGACAGTCTTGGTTTCGGTGACAGGACAGAGGCTGGTCAGGGTCGTGTACTCGACATCCTTCTCAGTCTTGGTAACGTCGGGGAGATTGATGGTCTCCCAGACCTTGGTCGGCACCTTTGTGACCACTGTCTGGGTCTCGGTGTACGTCTGGGTGATGGTGTGGCCGTCCTGGGTCAAAGTCTTGGTCTATCAAGAGTGTCAGAAGGCTGTAAAAGGGTTCGGAGCGTGTCTTGGCTTACATGAGGGATGAGCTTGGTGATGGTCGTGTAATCGATCTCCTTGGTCTTCTCAATCACCGTCGGGCCCGGGACGATCTCCCAGACCTTGGTGGGGACCTTCTCAATGATCGTGCTGATCGTTGTGTAGGTCTTGGTGTAGGTGTGCCCATCGCCGGTCACGGTCTCCGTCTGGAAGGATGTCAGTCTTGCTTGTGACAGCTTGCCTTGGCTTCCGGATCAGTGCTTACAACAGGGCATAGGCTCGTGTATGTGGTGTAGTCAACTTCAGTCTTCGTGACGTAGTCGGTGTGTCCAGGTAGAATCTCGTAAACGGTGGTTGGGACCTTCTCAACTACTGTGGAGGTCGTAGTGACGATCTCGTAATGGGTGGTGCCGTGGCCGGGCTTGGTGACGGTAACAGGGCAAACGGTGGTGTAGGTGGTCAAGACTTCCGTCACGATGGTCTTGGTCTTGCCTTTGCCGTGGTCATGGTCCTCGGTAGCGAGGGCGGTGGCGGCAAGAGCCAAGAGAGCGGTTGTGAACTGCATGGCTGCGGGTGGATGGGTGTTCGGAGCAATTAACGAGAGGAACGCTTGGAAACGACGGGTGGATGAAACTAGGGCTTTGGCTGCCCGATAGTCTCTTGAATAATCTTAACGAAGGAGTTACCTGATAGCTCTAGGGCCACGAGAGAGAGTTTGCGACAAGCTGCAAGAGGATAGGGAACGAAAGAGAATGTTTGAAGAAGACGGGGTGACTGGTGAGCTTATATCCCAATTCCTCGGACAGATGGTTGACCTTCCCGGTCTGCCCGCACCTGGGCAGATGAGATAAGAACGCAAAAAGCGGAGGTTGTGATGACATCCTGCCGGTGAACCATCAGAGCTCAACGATCTCCACAGTAGGATTGCAGTAGTCTCCGGTCAAGTGGACGGTAGGCGGGCCATAGTTGGGTCATTGGAATACTGCATGAGAGGATGGGAAGACTGGGGAGACTGGGATGGGAACGCCAAGCGGTGATACGAGAAATAACGATTCTTGGAGATGCACCACAGCAGATGGAAGAGCCATGGACTTCAGGGGTGGCTGGAGGATGACCCAGCCTGTATGGTCAATGTCGCTATTGTTGAATAAGCTCGTGGCGTGAGCAGATGAAAGCCCAGTCTCTGCCGCATGGTCGCGCTGCAACAAGCGTCATTACTTGGTCCGAGCCGGAAGATGAGGCACACGCCATCCAGTGTGCGTAGTGCGGATGCGGCTAAGAGACGAGTAAGAATGCGAGCACAGGTTGACTAGAGAGGGATGGCATTGCAGCTTTCTGAAAGGCCAGGCATACCCTTCTAACCTGGTCAATGATGTCGCCAAGTAAGGCCTTGAGGTCGACAGAATGGTTGTCAACCGAGGCTTTTTGTCAATTCCGTCTGACTGGGTGCCCAAGAAGCGGGCCAGGCAGCACTGCAGCCCGCGGGGTGACAACTGTATTCGCTGACGATCAAGAGCCTCCTTATTGTGGTCTTCTGCGCTGCAGTCGTGGACGTCGAGCACGCCATATATTCATCACGATTGAGTCACAGGGGAGTTGGGACAAAGTCGAACACCAATCAGACGCGGCGGCTTCGTATTGCTGGTAGTGGGAGGGCTTAAGCTGCCAGGTGTTTCCTAGCCGCATCTGTGTCGACTGAGCTTCACTGGAAGGAGCTGGAACTACGCGGGTTCAATGGGCTTACAAGTCTCTCGTTGTTATACAAAGCTTGTGTGTTCGTTGTGCACCCAGGAGGGCTCGTGTCCAGGCCGTAGCACAAGGCCTAGGATCTGCGGCTCGCAGGAAAGGTCCAACCACGACATGCGCCGGGTTTGTAGTCTAGGCCATTGGCGTACAGGAAGGCATCCAACCAGGTCCCGAGGTCAGCGGCAAGCGAGGCACAAAACTTGTTTTTGGCGGGGTGGGCGCCGAGTTGAAGAAGCGGGCGACTGTGGTAACCAAGCCGGTGCCGGGCAAACCCAAGAAAACAAGCGTTGGAACAAACAGACCGTGGAGAAGTGCCTCGTACAGCTCTCACGGCCGGGTCAAATCGGTTACGAGGGCCATGCAAAAGGATGCAGCCGGTTGTAATAACTGAGCCAGCGCCTACTGCTCGAATAATGGCCAAGGAAAGGGGCCGCGTGTTGTCAGCGAGTCTGACATGGTCGTGGGGCGAGCAACAAAAGCTCGGCAAAGATCATAAGTGTCGCCGTTGCGAGCCTACCCACCGATTGACAACGTGGTCGACTGTTTTCCCCTGCGGAGTACTCCCTCGAGAATCCAATAATCCCAGCCACCATGAAGTTGTTGTCCCAAGTCGCCGCCGGCGGCTTTGCGATGGAACTTGGTAGGCAGAGGAGGCGCTGTGCCGCCTTTGGAAGGGTTGTTTGGTCTTGAGCCGGTGGATGTGACTAACAAGTGACGGATCTCCGGACTGAACATGGAAAAATCGAAGCGATGACCAACGGATCAGACATTGCATGCAGCAAAGCATAAAGTCTCTTTCTTGCAGGGGGGTTGTGCAAATAAGCTGCGTCGTGGTGGCGCCATAGGAGCTGGATGGAAGCTGACAGTCAGCCAGGCGGGGGGGGGGGGGGGGGGGGGTTTAGTAGGGACCAACATTTACGACGTGTTCGTATCTTTCCAGTAGAACATGCGGGAGCTCGGAGCCCACGCCAACTCCACAGGGCCTTGGAAACGCGTCTCTACTCAAGCCTTACACATTTATTCCCTAGTCCTGCCTCTAGGGGGGGGGGGGGGGGGGGGGGGGGGCGGCCGGGTGACTATTACCTCAACTCAACGTCGTCTGATCGACCGTTCCCCATGATTGTCGAGGATGTCGAGACGGAACTAGATCTCCCTCTGAACCAGGCACTGACTGCAAGACGCATGCAGAGGACGACATTGAGGACAAAATGACAGGGTATGAATAGGCGAGAGGGAGGTGGGTTGTGGCGCTCACATCCGATGCATGTCGGTGTGGGTTGGCGGGAGAGGGTTATGCGGGGAGAATGAGGAAGGAAAGCTGGAACCGAGAATGGAGCAAGCAGATGAGAAGTGACGAGACAGAGCGAGAAGATGAAGAAGGACGATAGTACCTCGAACATGTTGGGGGGAGAATGAATCCGTTTGGTAGAAAAGAAGTAGAGGTACACGTGTAGGGAAGGAGAGGTTGGGATGAGCTAGCGGTTGCCTTCTCAACGGTGCATGCATCCCAAGACTGCCACTGCCAGCTACCTGCTCCTTCCCACAACGTTACCGGCATTTCTGGGCCGCAAGCCATGTACCTACCCAGGTACCGAGGTAGCGAAGGTACTACCTACCTACGTAGGACAACAATACGTGGTTTGCAAGCACTGAGTTGTCTACCTAGACTACCTATGAGCAGCTTGATGCAGCCGCATGCAAGTCGACTCGAGTATACGGAGGCCCCTAGCCATGCGTCTTGCATACCTGGATGAAGGTATGCTCAAATTGTTTATACGAGCCTCGGTTAAGAGCACACCCACCCACTCACACGCACACATATATGCACATGATGAGTTGTAAGGCGATGGGCATTGCGGGGGATGTGCTAGCATAGGGCCGTAGGTAGGGATGGTGGGATGAGATGATCCAAAGACTGCTACCTATTATTGAGGGTCAGCGTTTCCCGTCCCGTTTCCCCTCCAGATAGATCCCAACCGCCCTAACGGATGGATGTATTGGCGTCTCCCGGGGAGAATATGCATGCCCACCTAGGTTTCCCCCACCGTGACTGCCTCGCCAGCCCCGCGCCCGCTTTCCCTCATCGTCGATTATTCAATTGTTTCTCCCAAGTCTAACAGACTAGTACCATTGTCAGCAAATGGAACGTCAAAACTTCCCTCCTGAGGAACCAAATATTGGGTATTCTTACCCGGCAGGACGTCGACTGGCAGGCGATTGATATCCTTCGCATAGGATACATCGGTGACGAAATGCCGGTGGTTGTCTTGATCTCGGTCTCGGCGGGTACAACATGGGCGATAGGCAGCTATGTTGCCCGGGAATGCAGAGCGGTACGTGTGGGCCCTTTTGTCTGTGACCTACCTCACCTTACCTACTCTTGTTTGACGTCCATGGGGAATCACATACACTGTGCATTGGCCTGTCCGCCCCTCAACCTCATCCCATCCTTCTCCTGCTTGTCTTCCGAGGCTACGGACTAAGTGGTGCGCAACCAGTCTCATAGCATAAAATGTTTCGGATGACATCGGCTGAACAAGAGCAGAGGAATGAGAACACTGTCGAAGCCTTTGGACTGGGGTGGGCCTCCTCCGGGCGACCCTGCGTCCCTGTCACTAAAGACGAGACGGGACGCCTTGGAGCGTCGTCAGGTAGACCGCCAGACGCGCCTTGGTCAGGACGAACATCCAAAGTTGGCCTGCAGGTGGATGCTCAATGTTTTCCACCGTGTATTTCTCTCTTGTGGCGGGTTCAAGGACGTCTGGTCAGGTTATTCCAAGCGGATTTATATTAGCCATCCATCCTCTTGCACCATCCGTAGCCTCTAGGTCTGACATACCAAACACTCGAACAACCACGAGGTTTCTCTCCCATCCTACGCCCTACAGAGCCTTGAAACAACGTGTCGTCAATCGCCAGACCTTTCTCAACCACCTCCGCCTCACGCCCTTCTCCACCACCACCACCGCCATCTCCTCCTCCTCCTCCTCCTCTTCCTCTCCCAACCCCTTGCCGCTCTTGAGTCCGAGCCCTCCTTCCCCGAACAGCCAGGCGTTCAGTCTCTGCATGTCCCACCAGTCCCTCTCCCCGTCCACGGCCCTCTCCAGCGCGCCATTGTCGAACGCGATGCCCCGCCACAGCAGCACCCCGAGGACCTGCGCCAGCTGCGCCCGGCGTATCACCTCCTCGTCGCCCACGACCCGACCGACCTCGTCCCAGAAGAGGCTTCGAAGGGCGCACGCCTCCGAGTAGTACTCAAACCTCGTCGTGCCCGCTCCGCCGCCGGTGTCGGTGCCGTGGCTGTCGTCGTCCTCGATCGGCACATCTTCCCCCAGCACCTCCTCGAGGCCGTACATGCCCACACCGAACGGCAGCCACTCCACCTCGGCCCAATCGATCAGCCCAACCAGCCCGCCCGCCCTCTCCTGCATCTCCTTCCGCCGCCTCCCGCCCGCGCCGTCGCCCTCTCCCCATGGTGGCGGGTGAACCAGGATGTTGTCCGGCACCAGGTCCCCGTGCGTGACGACCCACGGCAGCGACCCCTCCACCTCCGCCAGCTCCCCCATCACCCGCCTCGCGACCTCCCGGAGCTCCCCCGTGAGGCCCTCCACCAGGACCTCCAGCCTCCACCGCAGGCTCCCGCCGACCTTCCCCTTGACGATGTCTCGCCCGTCCCGCCGGCCCCGCCAGGCGTCCGCGAACACGACGGCCAGGTCCGCCACGATCCGCCTCCTGCACGCCCGCGGATCCGTCCCCGACGATGTCGACGACCTCCGGAACCGCGTCAGCGAGACCCCGCCAGCTCGTTCCAGCGCATACGCGCACAGCGCATCGCCGCCGCCCCCTGTCTCCGCGCCTGCCGTCTCCAGCCCCGTGAGCACGCCCAGGTCCTCGACACCCGGCACGATCCTGCCGCCAAGAACGCCCCTCGCTTCCGCGCACATCCCGGCGTCGATGGCGTGCCGCCTCGGCCGAAACTGCACCAGCAGGTTGTTCCCCCTCTCGCCGCCAGCTGGAACTTTTCTTTTCCCGCTAGTGTCCGAGCTTTCGCTGCTGCTGCTGCGGCCACCGCCGCTTCCGTCACCGGCTTCGACTCCGCTGTCCCGCCGTCTCCCGCCGGGTGTCTGCGGCAGAAGGAGCAGCGTGTATGAGCAGTACCCCTGGAACGGCGCCGGCGCGACCTCGCACCCCGGAAACTTGGTCCTCGCGAAGTCGTGCGCCGCGGCGACGGCCGAGGCTCTCAGCCCGCACCGCGCCAGGAACGCCGCCACTTTGTCGTCGTTTCCTCCGCCGCCCGATTCTGACGCCGGACATGTGTCGGGGCCGGGCTGCGAGCCGGTGCCGGTGTTGGTGTACGTCACGTTGTCGTCGTCGTCGGCACCCGCGCCCGGATCGCGCGCCATCTCTCCGCCGAAGTTGTTCGTGCCGACGCTCATCGTTGATTAAGAACCGTGTTCCAACATGCCATGGTGAGGAGGGGCGATTCGATCCGACTCTCGTCCGGGACGCGGGCGAGGGAGGGGGGAAGGGTAAAGAGATAAAGTTGTCGGCCCCTTATCAGCCGCAGCCTGCGTGAAGAAAAAAGCCGGGCGGCCCGATTTAGGTTCACATGACGGCGCCATCAGCAGGCCTTGCATTCAGGCTGGTCAGCAGCGTAGTTGTCTGCATCAGGTCGGTGGAAGGCAGATGAGGGGAAACAACCCACCCTTGACCCTCCCCCCCCCTCTCCCCGGCCGACTACATGCACCACCACACCACCACCACCACGGGATGCGCCCGCGTGGGGTGGTGTCTTGCAGATGACTAGTCGTCATACGCCGCCTAGTTGGGTTTGGTGATGGCCACGCCGGGCGCCAGACGCGGCTACGATGGCTAGGCGTGAAAACACCGTGTAAATAGGTAAATCTCCAAAATGAGAAGGCAGGGGAAAACATAGAGGCCGATTCTATACGGTAAATGTATTATTTTCCGACTTCAAATCTGAAGGCGAAGAAAGCAGGGCTAAAGACAAATCAAGCTTTCTCAGCCTGTTGAGAAAGAAGAACAAGACAAATAAAAAATTAACGAATCCCATGTTTATGCCCGTTTCCGTTACTCCATGCAAAGGGTATAAATCGATGCGCGACCCTTTGGTAGCGCATACATGCTTTGTGAACTTCCCCCAATCTTACACGCGGCGCCATCTCCAACTGAAGAGGGGCGGCAGAGCGACCGGCAACATCGTCGCGGGGGTAGCAAACGGCTTAAGCTCGTCTTCCACTGCTTCTGCCCTGCTTACCCAATCGCCAGCTGCCATCGCCGCCGGTTGTGGCTTTGCGGCTAGAAGTCTTCCGCAATCCCATTGTTTCATCAACCAGACGCCCCGTATCCTTGCCCTCACAAGCTGATCCAGATCTGTCTGGACCCGGGTCTATGATTTTCGGCCGTTACTGATATTCGTTACATGCGCCGTGGTGCGCAACTCGCCAGTCGATGTGAGTCGTTCATTTGCGGGATCTGCGATCGAGTTCGACCTTGCTGTACCAAGCAGCACCAATCATGGTGAGAAACATGCCGGAGCCGTTGAACAGGTGGACCTCGACACCGAAGGCAACGATGCCAAGTCCGACAGTGAGACACTGCTTCAAGTTGCCGCAGATGCTCATTGTGAGAGCTCCGGCGACCTTGTTCGTCTGGAAAGAGGCAACGTTGAGGGCGAAAGCGAGGATGCCGTTGCCGAGGAGGGCGATGACGGTGGCAAGGCTAATGTTGCCCTCCACCCGCATGGTGTTGAGGTTTCCGAGCTCGCCGGCGGCGATGGAGCAGGCCAAGGACTGCATGGCCGCAAAGGGCGACATACGCAGCAGAACTTCCATCGCAGGGAGGGCGAGAGGGCCGGTCATGATGCGGTTTGTGGCGACCGTCTGTTGTTGTGTTGGTTAGTATCTTTATAGGCATGGGATAAACGTGCTGGAACTGGGATAGAGGTTTGCTGGACGGGTTTCAGAGAGCGGAGCCACATAAACCCAACCGGATGGTCGGCACCACTTTCCGCAACCCAGACCCTGCATTTCAGATGATAGATGGGAGATGCGGCATGCGCATAGTTACGCACCTTGACTGCGGCAAGCACCACGCCCGCAAAGGTGAGCAGAAAGCCCAGGTCGGTGAAAGTGTATTCGCCAATGGTCGTTAGGGCAGCGCCGATCATGATGGGCACGAGCGTCAGGTATGTCATGTTCTCATAGGTGCGGCCGAAGACGACACGGTAGATGAGAACGGTGAAGACGGGCACTGTCGTTCGCAAGACCTGGTAGAATGGCACTGAGACCATGGCGCTGCACGGTGGGTTAGCATCATATTCATTGTCTAGGTTGAGTCCCGTCCCGCCTCATCCCACAACGGGTGTCATGGGGGGGATTCTGCAGCGAGAGCGGCGTTGAATATTCCAAGATTGTAAAGGGGGTTGGATGGCTGCTTACAGTGATAGGTTAGAAGCGGCGATGTTGGTGGTGAAGAGCAGACTGAAGGCAAGGAGAGTGAGGTTCTCGCGGCGGCCCAAGTGAGACATGGTGAAGTAACCGCATTGCATCAGCATGTAGCAGCCCAAACTCGCACAGGTGGCGTGAATCGAAGTAAGGAGCCACGGGAAGGGGAACTGAAGATGGCGTCAGTGTTTGTTCTTTGGAGATGACAATTCATCACCCTGCCACCACGAAGGCCTGGAAACTGGGCCAAGATTCGGGAATGACAACTCGGGGGGACGGGCAGGCAACATACAGCTCCGAGGATCAGCTTGTTGTATAGGGTCAGCACCAAGCTGAACATAAAGTAGGCGCTCAACCAGCCAAACTTGACCTGGGGAGAGATGGTGTATTCGACGGGGTTGCGGTTCCTTTCGGCGTTGCTCCCGGGATCGGTGGCAGGGCTGGCGTTAGCCTCGAGATCGTAGCTTTCATCGATCCGCTTCTCATCGCCGTTGAGGAGGCCTTGGCCTTCCTCGCTCCGTCGAGCCTCGTTCTTGAAGTTGCTAGATTCCGCCATTGCGTCGAGTGGTGAAGATGTTGGATGGACTGGATATTGTTGCTGTTTTCTTCTTTTCTTCCCTTGATGATTTCCGCCGTTCGTCGCAAAGGGTGGGCTTCTTAGTGTATTTGTTTACAGACCGTGTGTTCGTGTTCGCCCACAGATACCCTGTTGTTTGGTGGCTCAAGCTGACGACCGTCCTAGTTTCACGACGGAGATCGGTCCCGAGCGTGGCGGAGGGTTCGGGAAGATGGAGATGCGCAATAGTCGAGCTCGAAAAAAAAAATGACGGACCGACAAGCGACGACTGGTGGATGTTACTGCTTGCGATGGGTGGAAGATGCAGAGAAGATGAAAAGGTATGAACGATAGGCAGTACAGTGGAATAATTGTATGCCGTGGGGTGGATGGGAAGAAGCCAGTAAAAAAGGGAACCCCGGCTGAGAGGTGGTGACTACTGTAGGTCCTAGGGGGGTACAAATAAATGGCGCTTGTACAGTGGAACCAGCGTGCCAAGAATCTAACCCTGCGCTTCGGATGAGGCGTTAGCCAAACGCGATGCACCAATTGTCTGATAGTGTCAAAATGTAGAAGAATAAAATCCGAGAACAGGGGGAGTGAGTTGGAAAGTGCTAAGAAAGGGAACGACTGGAATAGGTGGGAAGCGAACGGGAACAGGAATGGAAAAGAAAGAAAAACTTGTGGAGGAAGGACTGAGAAGTGAGGTGTGAGTGTGCGTCGATGATGGATGGAGGACGATATCATAGAAATGGCGGCGGTGCCGAAGGAAGAGTAGGAATAGGAGGGAAGTGAGTAGTGGAACATATGCATATGAGAGTGCGGGCTGGGGGTGAACAGCTAGAAGGGGGTCCACGGGGGGCGGATGGGGCGGGGGGCCGGGGGATGACAAGAGTAGGTACCTACTACTAGATAGAGGCTACCTAGGAACCAGAGGATACCGACATACTCAAACGGGCATCTTTCTCGCTTCCGCACTTGGCGTCAATGACGTTTCGGCTGATGGCATTGGCACAAAATATTGCTATTGCTCTTGCTTTGGCCCAGTCCCTCACGTTCCTTCGTAATATCTGGTCTCTCTTGGTGTGCCTCCGTGCCGGCCTAGTGCAGGGCCAAAGTTACACGTACCTGGCCTGGCGCGTTGCGTGCAGGCAAGGGGCTCTTCAGATCTGTCTGCACTTCAGGGTCTATTGAACGAAACGGATCATGGCTTGCTTTTTTGACACAAGTTTCCTTGGGGTATACAGATACAGCGTACGTAGGCTTGCGCGGTAAGGGAGGCCAAGAGGGTCTGAGATCGGTACACTAGAATCCGAAGGTGAAGACGGGTTGGGACACAAATAGGCTGCCAAGGCACATCACACATGATGTGAGGGGAGAATCTGGAGGATTGCGAAGGAAACTTTGTGACGGCTAACCGTTCCAGCATCGTTGAGTGTGCAACGTACATTGGCCGCTGCCCGCTTGTTCAATTCAAATCCAAAACGGCATCCGCCAATCGGTTCTTCGCGTCGCATTCACAGGTGACGATCTCCATTAATCAACGTACACCATACCAGGTACGGAGTACGTAGGGAATGGATAAAGCAGAGCGAGATACCAGGCTTCGATGAGGCCTCCCCGCTAACTGCATTGCAATTAGGTAGGCGGAGGAAAACGATATTTTCCAGCACTCGGTGTGAGGCAAGGCTTGAGCTCAAGAAGGAATTAGCCTACCCAAGCACCCGCATGACAAAAAAGATAGCACACCTAAAGTACTTTCTTACACCATATCTACCCTAAGACTATTAACAAGTGTTTTTTTCTTATACAGGGTGGCAGGGGCAAGTTAATGACCCCTATGATGTTACCCCCCACAGCTGATATCATAATAGGGGATGAGTATTCACCAAAAGTGAAGTCCTGTAGTAGGGGGGTGAGCGTTAGTTACCTAACAGGGGTCATAAACTTCGGCCGGATACCATCGTACTAACACAGCCATAAGACATAGTTAGGATATAGGAAAAATATATTTAATAGTGGGTAGAGCATACTAGAATTAATTATGGCTATTTTATATAGGTATATCTATATATTTAGTGTTGTGCTGATTATAATTGTGCAGGGAGTGTTTAGGTGTGCCATCTTTTTTGTCATGCGGTTGCCAAGCTTTCCACAATTAACGTTACTGGCATCACCTAATCTATATTGGTTTATGTCAGTCTGGGACAGAATATCCGTACCTACACCAGGTATCCGTACATACGATGGTACCAGGCCGGAGTTAATTACCCCTGTTAGGTAGCTAACGCTCACCCCCCTACTACAGGACTTCACTTTTGGCGAATATTCACCCTCTATTATGATATCGGCTGTGGGGGGTAACATCATAGGGGTAATTAACTTGGCCCTGCCACCCTGTACATAGTAGGTAGGGAAGGTTTGGTGGCGGAATTACCGTCCCTCCCTCTCTCGGCCCCGGTCTGCTCCGCGTCTGAAGTGAGCTTGTCCTGGGGTCTTGGGGTTATTGGGTCCTAGGAGCACCACCCCCTTGGCAGCCGCGTAAGCCTGGGCCCTGATTCATCGTGGTGCGACCGTATGGCAGGGACATGGCTTGGAGCGAAACATGATCAGATAATCAAAAGGGGTGGCCCGGACAAAATGCAATCGTGGCGGAGGGAAGTGATGGCAACGATCGACGTCTGTGGCGGACCAGGGTGCCACTTTAGAGTGGGTGCTGAAGAGAAGCAGGCGGAGTCTGGCGCTGGCACTACCCTAGCACTGGCACAGGGCCACAGGCAAAAACTGAACGAACAATTAAAGTATCTGTGGTATGTATGTGTAATTGGTGACAGGAGGCAGCAGCCGATCATGCATCCTATCTTTTTTTCCGGAAGCTCTTTATCATTCCAGTCTGACAGTTAAGACTCCGTCCAAGTATACCTACCTACTATGTACGGAGTACCCATAGGGTCCTTCCATTCATACCTAGTCCAAAGTACGGATAGCGCGCATGCGTACCAAGGAAAAACTGGTAGCCGGAATAGTGGAGTGTGGACGTGACCTAGCCAACACAGCTGGCGCGTGTGTAGGCGAGCCAATCTGACTGGCTCATCTCATGAAAACAGAGACAATCTAGGTCGAGTCTCCGTACCAAACGCTGCTGGTTGATTGATTGACATACTAGTGGTTTGTTTCTCGTCTGCGGCTGCTCACATCCCAGATATATTATCTGGCAGGTCTCAAAAGGCCTGGTAAGGTAGGGCAAACGGAGACACGCATGGCGATGCCTGCTTGTCTTGCGGTTGTCTGGGAGCTACAGCCGCACGGAGGAACACCGCAAGCACTTAGCCGACAAGCCCCAAGTGTTGCAATGCAGAGACTTGTCTTAGAAGCGAGCACCGCCATGAGATTGGCTCCCTCCCTTGGCCTTGGCTTCTGTAGAGGAGAGGCAGAAGGGGCGGAACCATCGGTGGAAGCAAGGAGGTGGAGAGGAACAGCAGGCAGCGAATAGGGAGAGTGGAAAACATCAAGCGGATATCAACTTTGGAGACAAGGGACGCAACTGGCCCAGAGACTCAGGGCGGAAAATGACAAGAAATCATGTTGCATGACGGTGGTACGCGGCGCGCTGGGGCGACAGGAGTGCTGGCTGGAGGAACGATGGAAACTGCGCCGTAGGAGGGGCACCATCGGGACGTGGTGGAGAAGAATCCGACAGCGGGAAGTACTGTACGTATGTATTTGTACCTACAGTACCAAGCAAGGAACCTGTTAACTTTGATGGCCCCGCTTACATGAGCAAGCAGTCCACCAGCATCTTGTCTCTCGTTGGGCCAGCAAGATTTTTGCCCTGTACCTGTACATGGCCACCCCGTCGTGGAAATGTTATTTGTCGCTCGCAATCACCGTAACCCTCCATGCACTCTTTTTTTACGGTATCCGTTCCCATCCGTCCACGAGCGTACAGTGTGAAAAGTGACGTTGCGGTGCGTATGTGGTGGTGAGATGAGACGCATCGCAACACCAGCCAGAAGGGAGAGCACCCCGCAGCGAACCGAGATGTCTGGCGCAACGGTCGGCACCTTGGCCCATGTTCGTGTCTCAGACATTCGGCCACTTAGCAGCCAACCGCCCGCTAGAGCTTAATGGATGGGTGTGCGTGTTCCAACGGCTAACGGCAACACCATCTACGACGGGCGACAGTGCGTCGATTGAATAGTGTAAACAATGCATCAAAGATAAGGCCGCCAGGTACTTCAGGACATGGAGAATTAAGAGCGGCAGGGTACAAACAGCGATGGGCAAACGCAATACCTACATAGTAATACTAATAAGCAGCAGACGCGTCAGACACTATGCAATGGGAAGTACCTGGGGGCTTTCAAGACAACCCGCAAGCAAGGGCTATTTGGGGCGGGCCTACCAAGCAGGTAGGGGTCTCACCGATGCGGCGGTACTAAGCCTCCAAGCCGGACGACGCGGCATCTTTAATTTCTTGGGTTTCTTGGGCTCACCACACCAAGGCCGCCAGGCCCTCGTCTTGGTTGCGCGGCTGGCCAGTGTCAACGAGTCCACGTCAGCGACCCCGTTGCTCGCCGATCCTCCCATGATCCTTGTAATACGGATGTGCCCACTGCCCAGTCAGCGCCTTCGAGTTTCGCTGGACCCAGTAGGCTATTTCCCCCTTCTTTCTTCATACGTTATGCTCACACGCGTATCTTGTTGCAAATCGAAACCAGGCCATGCGACAGGAGGCTAGCTCTTCAGGGGGACCGGCCTCGTTTGCTGGCCGATATGAATCCTTTCATCCCATCACTTGTCGAGGGGTTCGCGGATGCGTTCGTGAACACTGAGGTATACGGTTGGGTGTACATCAGGTACCTACAGTACCTACGGAGTACTGTATGCACATTACGTGCAGATGGATGATGTTCCCACCTGGTTCATAGCCTCTTGCAGCACCACAACGCCACGCCATACCCCATTATCCGTCTCCTACCTACCCTACCTAGGTCCCTAAGAAAGGTAGGTGGGCACCTACCTAGAGTTGCTCGTCCTGTCTAAACGGACCGCCTACCATCACTCACACACATCATACCTACCTAACTTAGCACACTTAGGTAGCTAGCTCCATGCCGCGTCATTCTTCTTTTCTTTCTTTTTTCTTTCCCCCCTCTCCCTTCCTTCGCCCCTTCCCCCAACCTGGGCCCTCACTCCCTTGAACTAGGTAGTTTACTAACCAATGTCTAGGTACTAACGACATAATACATACCCTACTACCAACCTTCTTCTCGCTTTCCTTCAGCCCACCGTGCGTCCAACACAATCATGGCTGAATAATCCTACTTGTACTCGGCCCACATCACGAGTTCCCTTACCCAATTTCCTTGCACCGCCTTCCCCGGACTTTACTGCCGGCCCTCGTCCAAATCACTAGATAGGTATCCTTATACAGCCTGAAGTGAAGCTCACACCGGTCGAACCGCCTGTCACCTCTGCGACGCTTGCACCTGCACGCCCACCCACGACTGTCTTTACCGCGAAGGGAGTTGCAGTCCAAGACAGACTAGACTAGACAGTTTCGAGACAAGACGTGAGAGGAGGAATCAACCTCCTGCTTAAGAGGAACACAAGATTTCTTGAGCCCACCGCCCGCACTTTTGATCGCTGCTGGAAACGCATACATTGATTGGCATTGGCAACTTGGCCAGTTGCCCAGAAAGAAGCTCCTCCATCCATCTACCACCACACGCGCTTCTTGCCACTGTCACTTCTTCCAACTCTATTTCCTCCACATCTTTTTTCTTCCCGCCCGCCCTCTCCTTGACGACGACAGTGCTCGACTGCGAGTACATTCGCTTCAGTTTGCCTTTCTTTCTCTTGCTCTCATTACTGCTGGGTTTTTTGTTGCTTCGCTACCGTCTTTTATAATACCCAACTGCAACTTTCGATCCCAAACTCTCGCCATCGGCATCGCCTCACCCTCACCCCATCAGACGCCACCGTCTAGGTTGCCTGCGCGCCCTTCAACCCTCCGGAATCGCCCACCCTGGATCTCAAGCCGAGCCGGCAGCTAAATGACACCCGCCTCGCACCCATGATAATGGCACTGAAAGGCCGCAGGTTCGCACTGCTGGCCGCCTTTGTCATTGTTTCGGGCCTCTTGATCTTTTCGCAATCTCTCTACCCAGAGAAGCTGAGCTGGGTGAGTTTTCCGTCGTCACTCCAGAGTTTTTGTCGCTATTTGATCGCGTCGCAAATCACTCCGTCAGCCTGGACCTTTTTTTTTCGTATTTACCTTTTCTTCTCCTTGTCCTCGTCAGGAGAGGATTGCGCACACGTGCCGATCTGGGCTGAAACACAAACGGAACACCTCGCGGAGGGGCCCTGAGACACACGTCGTAACTGATACTGACGTGACATTCTTCGACAGTCCGAAATCTCGGCTTCCCTTCCTCCAGGAAGCAAGTCTTCCGTGCCATCTGCCAAGAGCAGCCAACCGGGCTCCGTGGGCGTCGGCCGCTTCCACTTCCTCATCGCCGCCAGCGCTCCGAACCTCCAATTCTGTCGCACCCTTGTTTCCTCGACCGTCAACCGCTTCGGCGCGCCCGTCATCGCAGGATGGAACGCCACCGGGGAGAATGATGCTGCTCTCTCGCACCTGGCCAAAATCCGTGTCGTTGTTAAATACCTCGATGAGCTGCCCCAATCCAACAACGACGATCTATTCCTTATGATCGACGGCTATGATGTTCTCCTCCAGTTCGGTCCCGACGTCTTGATCGACCGCTACTTCAAAGCTTCCGAACAAGAGGATGAGCGCATCATCCAACAACTCGGCCCCCAAAAGGCCGAGACTCTAGCCGGGCCCCTCGGCCGACACATCTTTTTTGGCGCCGACAAGGTCTGCTGGCCCGTCGACTGGCGGCGCCCGGCATGCTGGGCTGCCCCCGCGGTCCCCAATATGGACGGTCGAGAGTTCGGCCCTCTCACGAACACGGAAGACATGGCCTTCAATCACCCGAGATGGCTCAACAGCGGTACCATCATGGGCCCCGTCAAGGAGGTCCGCGAGATGTTCCGAGCCACCCTCGACCTCATCCATCAAGTGTACGACCCCGAGTTCGAGTTCAGAGAAAGCGACCAGCTCTACATGAGCGACGTTTGGGGTCTCCAGGAGCTGGAGCGGATCCGGATGCAAAAGGATGAAGATCCTGAGGCCGTTGTCATGCAACCCCCGGAAGACGGCTTTGTTCCTCGCCTGGAACCCGCTTTCAGCTACAATTCTCACATCGCCTTGGACTACTGGAGTCTGATGTTCCAGACATGGGCTGGCTACACGGAGTGGGTGGACTGGCGCAAGTTTGTTGGTCCCCTTTACTCGTTCGAGGTTACCCAAAACCACCGCAACAACTCGGACTTTGTCCCTTGGAGCCTGCACATGCAGGCGGACGGCATGAGGTCGTTGAAGCGCATCTTTAACACGACGTCAGATGAGACCATGGGCGGGACGGTGGATGAGCTGATCCGCAAGTCCGAGTTCGGGGCCAACATTATCACCAGACAGACGTTTCCCTTGCTACATGTAACAGGAGAGAAGGGCGCTCTGGATACCTTCTGGCCCCGCATGTGGTTCTATCCCTACGGGCGGTCGCTGGTCCGGTCCGCCATCAAATGGTTCCGGGCCGAGGAGCACTATGCGCCTGAACCGATCAACAACAGAGTGTGGTATCCAGCGCATCCCTATCCCGAGAAGATCAGGGAGAGCGATGCCGGCGCCTGGTCGGACGCTAGCAACGACAACGCAACCGTCTACTGGTTGGGTTTTGATGAGCTCTGCGCAGAGCATCACGGCATTCTTTTTGGGGAGGCGTAACCCTTCCTGAATGGAGTCTACTATACGGGGTTTCATTCGATTGAGAGAATTTGAGCACCTTGGACTACATGGTCTGGAGAAACATTGCGCAGATTCCATGGAATCAGATGCATTGAATCAGTAGCAGCAGAAAAGCTATTGCAGAGTAGGGACGGCAACAACAATGGTCCATACTTGACACAGGACGTCACGGCTGGCATCACACATTTGAAATTCAGCACGCAAAGATTTAATAGACGTGTAATTGTGCGCGTGCTTCTTTTGTATAACGCAGCGTTGTGTAGGACTTCGGTTTAGAACATGGCGACGAGAAAACAATAAGACACGGCCATCAGAGGCAATAATCTTTCAAGACATGACTTTTTTTTTTCCTCGGCTGAACTGTCCACTGCAGGGCGAATGCACAGTGTCTTGAGGAGGAGATGTGTCTGTCTCGGCATGGCCAGGTCGATGGGAGTGAGGTCGAGTTTGACTCTCCCCAAGGTGCTGTCGGGCAAGATGGTGGGCCATGCCGATTACGTAGTACTGTGGGGCTGGGCGCAGGCGGGATGTTTTCCCACCACCACCCTATAACAATCTCTCCAATTTGTTTGATTTTTTTATTTAGTTATCGTTCTTAGAAAGGTTTTGGCCATGCCCTGCAGTAGCTGAGCTGGGACAGGCTACCTAGGCTGCAGTAGGTGCGTTTTGCGGAAAAGAAAACTTTCCGAATCGGGATGCATCTTGGTGTCGACTCTTGGCGTGATTGGTCCCTTCGTCGTGCGTGAAGAGGCCGTCAATGGCTAGGCCGCCAAGACGGGCGGTGGTGTAGCTCACTCTTAAGTAGGTAGGTAGCTTGCCTGGCTTTGTACATCAGGTCGAAAGGGGGTGAGAGGCAGAGACGGAGAGACGGAGATGGAGACAGAGAGGCCTGAAGCGAGAGCGATGAACCTTCGTATGAAAGGTTTGTGATATGTGTCTGAGTCACGGCGACAGTGCAGGTCTCGGTGAGTCTGGATTTTTTTTCTTCTTTTTTTTCCTCCTTTTTTATTCCTTCCACTCTTCGTTCTGTTGCACGCGGTGAGCTACAACTTCCGGCTGTTCGTCATAGGCACTAGGTTTGTTACTGATTTTCGATTTATTTATCTAGAACAATCAATAGATGGATAGGCGAGATCGCGTGGCTTGGAGCTCTGAAGACAGTGAGACATCGCGGCACGCGAGGCGGGAAGGGGGTTACAAATCAAGTTCAAGTGAAGCAATCCTGGTTTCCTTTCTTTTTCTTTGTCCCCCTTTTTTGTGATATCTTTTTCTTCCCCGTCGCCTCCTCAAGGCCGGAGGGGAAGAGAGAGCACGAGACTTGTCGAGTCAACTGTAATGAATTAGGGCGGAGGGCGGAGAGGAGGGGACAGGCCTCTCTGCGAATGGATGAGTTGCAGCTTGGCAGATTTCGGTTCAGCTGATGTTCCCCACAGCTTCGACATGCATCCGTCCCGTCTCTCGGACGAACTGAACATGTCGTAAGCACGGGAGAGAGCGCCACCGTAAGAAACTAGAGATATAACTATGTATCCAGCTAAAAGTCACTTGCCTCTCACCGACCGCTGAGCAGTCCTAACCTGTTGTTGAAGTGGCAGGGCCGGAAGGGGAGGGCGACAACTTGCTCTTCCCTCTTGGGGCAGGTGGCCAGGACGTCCATCGAAAAGGGGAAGTGGCTCGGGTAATGTGACCTCAAGGTGCTCCCAACAGGGTTGGGAAATTGATCGATGATGATGAGAATCCTGGGCAAGCAAGTCCAATAACCGAATTGGACGCTCGTCCTCCTAGTACGGCCTCCTCATTGAACCATTGCATACTACGGTCAAGATCTATGAAAACTCATGGAAAGAAACACACGGTCGGAGCATGGGAACAGAACATTGGCTGTCGAGAGCAACACGCCCGCTCTTTTTCTTTTCTTTCTTGGCGCTGCCCGCCTGCTTGTCTTGAGTTATTCCCGTTTGGTGAATCCGTCTGCTTACCGCTGGCAGTGCAATGCCATTTCAAGTTAAAGCTGCTGTGGCTTTCGTCGGATTGTGGAATGCCAGTCGGTTAAGGAACCTCTGGGATTCGATGCCTTCGATTTGCAGCCCACCCACCTCGTCAAATGAGCATCGGATTGGATTGGCTGGGCCAGAGAGTAAAAAGTGTAATTTGTATAGAGACTTGTATTTTTTTTTAATATAGTAGTTATAAGGCTTAACTTAAAATACTGAATTCTATAATTAATACGGAGTATATAGTATAGATCTAAAGATTATTATAACGGTTTTCTAATATAGTTTTATTTTTAGTAACTATATATTATTATGTTTAAGTTAATATACCTGATATTTAAATAACTTTTTTCTCTAGAAAAAATATAATATATATTAGTACTTATATTAAAAATAGACTTTTTATATCTTTAATATAAAAGTAGGTCTACTTCCTACAAAAGAAATAAAAATATTACTAAATATTAAAAAATAGGTTTAGTCTAAACTATATTTCTATATACATTTATACACACTCTATAGGCTAATATATATATATACTTTAGCTACACCTAAAAGTCCTTAACACTTGTATTAAATTTGTATTTTTTTTGTTAAATCTCTGGGCTGGGCCACGTCGTTGAGCCTACAATTCTGCCCTTTCTAGTTCACTCGGGCGATCTGGCACCTTTTCCCTCTCGTACATCCGTCCACTAAAGCCACCGAAAAACCTCTCTCACTAGCTCCTTCCTGCCTTGCCAAGCACATCACGACCCTGCACCCCTATGCAACCCACCCCACGATCCACCCGCAATGACAGAAGCCACCCCCAAGGAGCGTCACTCTTCGCCGCCGAGCTCACTTCTTCTGCGCTGACGGGGCGGTCTCAAGGCAGCCAATGGAGGCGCTGCGAGTGTCATATACGAATTCGATAAATTCCGGTGCCTGTTTACTCTACTCTCAGACCCCAGCGGACGTCCTTGCACTCGGAAGGATGCTTCATGCATCCCGTTCTATCCTCCTCTAGCTCTCAAGCCGCGATTACACACCGGGTGCAGCTGCCTAGGCAGAGCCAGCCACTCCTCGTCCGCAGATTTCTATCCGCTCTACTTGACCCCATTGCATTGCATGCCCTCCGTGTCAGACTACAGCGGCGCTCTTAGCCTCGACAGGCAGCAGTAGAGGGAGGCGAGCATGGCGCGCGCACGCGCACCTTCCACACAACCGCGTTCCTGCCCACGCTGCCTGTGTACGACTTTCCCTGTCTCGATGTGAAGGCTGATCGACGGCACTTTCTTCCCTCTGGAATGTCCCATCGCGCCTCGCTCAGGGCTCTCCTCCTTCCCATAGGGCAGCCTTACGGAGCTAGTCTGGTTTCTGTTTCCTTCCCCGTACCTGTGCCTCAGACCAAGAAATCCCCGTCGACTGTCTCCCCCCTTGCCGATATAAGGAAGGGAGCTGCCGCGTTCCGTTGCACGCGGGCTCCCAGGAAGGCGTACATTTGGAGTTGCAGACATAGACAAACAGGCAACTTCATCTCGTTTCAGTAAACATCAATCTGATCGTCCATCCCATCACCCATCCCATTATTAATCCGATCGTCAATCTGATCGTCAATCTGATCACAACGCCTGTCCTTGTTTGGGCAACGCCTCTATCTATCCCAGTAGAACTCTACCTCTTCTCACCATAGACAGTTCGTCTGGGCCAAGCTGCCCATCATGACGGCCCCGTCTGTCCCCATTAACTACTCTTCAAAGAGACTGATCGTGTGCTGTGATGGCACATGGATGAACTCGTGAGTGCTACCGTTTCCGTGTGCCGTCTCGGCTGCGCTCACACCAAGGTGCTAACCTTTCGTACAGGGAGAGCGGTTACGTGAAGCCCTCACTTTGGAAGCGTAAGGGCTCCCTCCAGATCCCGTCCAACGTGACCCGTATCTCGAGATGTTTCCGCCGTAGGTGCAGTGACGGCCGTGTCCAAGTAATCGAGTACGAGTCGGGCGTCGGCACGGGGAGCAACACGCTCGACACCCTTACGGGGGGTGCTTTTGGCCTCGGTCTCGGCGAGGTGAGCATCTCCTTCTGGACTCTGTCCATTCTCATCCTTCCTCGTCCTAGAGTACAGGGCTTACGTACCAGACAGAGAGTTCGCAACATATACAGCTTCCTCTGCGCCAACTACTGCGATGGCGACGAAATCATCCTCGTCGGTTTCTCGCGCGGTGCCTACATTGTCCGTTCCGTCGCCGGCATGATCACTGATCTAGGCCTCCTTACTCGTGAGGGTGTCGAGCACTTTTGGCCCATCTTCAAGGACATGGAGAACTGGAACAACCACCACTACCGCGACGAGTTTCCCACAGAGCCATTCGACAACAAGCCCAAGGGCGACGGTGCTGCAGATGTCTACCGGTCCAAGTTAGAGAAGGTTAGTTTGCTACCCTCTACAACAGAACGTCAGTAATGACAATGACGAATACCAGCTCGGCATGACCCGCGTTCGGCAGGAAGAAGGTAATGGAGAGCTCATCAAGGTCAAGGCCGTTGGTAAGTAGTCCTCGAATCTTTCATTCAACAATAGCCTCCTTTCGTCAATAAAAGCACCTTACCTTTCATATATACGAGAAGCCTGGCTAATTAAGAACAGCCGTGTGGGATACCGTTGGTAGCCTAGGCATCCCCCAAATTTCCTGGCTCAACAAGCTTGGCATCTACGCATCGAACCGAGAGTTCAGATTTTGGGACACAAGCCTTTCGGACAAAATTGAGCACGCATTTCATGCTCTCGCCCTCGACGAGACACGCTACTCTTTTCAGCCAGCAGTATGGGAGCGCCTAGAGGCCAATCGGCTCTCGACTGATCTCCGTCAGGTGTGGTTCCCTGGCAACCATGGAAACTGCGGTGGAGGCTGGAACGACCAGGGGATGTCCAATATCACGCTTGCTTGTAAGTTGACGTTTATCCATGCTTCACTGTCGGCTAACACAGAGCCACGTAGGGATGATGGACCAGCTAGCCTCAATTGGCGTCGAGTTCAATCACCGCGTCCTTGAACATTTCGTGCAACAGTCCGATTCTTTCTACCAATCTCAAAAACAAGGTGCTATGCCGTGGGCTATGGAACCCATCTACGGCCAAAACCACCCTCGCCGACCTTGGGGCTTGGGCGCCATCCAGAATTCGTCAAGTCGTCTTTACTCCTTGGCCGGCAAGATTACCCGTTCGCCTGGTCTGTACAAACAGGTTAACGCCGAAACGGAGGCCCCAAGCGCCCATTTCCTCCAGGATACCAACGAGCGAATTCACTCGTCGGTGCGGACTCGCCTGGCCTGCAAAGGCCTTGGACTCAACGACGTTGGCGTATGGGACAACCCTGCCATGAAATACTGGAGGCTTGTCCGTACAAAGGCCGAATACAAAGATCCGGTGCCCAACCACCCGGCTTGGGAGCCAGAGAAGGACGGAGAGGCATGTATGAAGCATCCTTCTGAGTGCGAGGACGGCCGCTGGGTCTGGGAGTACTGTGGGCCGAAGAAGAACGCCCCCACCAGCCCTTTGGCAAGAGTTATGGTTGAGGAACCTCTAGGACCGTTCGAGCGTTACTTGTTGAAGTTGACTGGCGGTACCCCCAGTGTATACCAGCTTGCCCATGAGAACGCCCAGTAATTCTGGGGAGCTTTTGTTTGTTTCTTTCGCATAGTACAGTTCACCGGCACATATATAATACCACTATACATAACAACCTAATACGCACAAGCCCAGGGTGTAGTGTGAGCGAAGCTAGCCACAGAAGTGCGCCAAGCATGCGTAGAGGGGGGAAACCGCCCGAGCCGCGGTCCAGAGCCCGTGAGGACGCTCCTACCCGGATGATTCGAAGCTTGGTATGTGCTCTGTTTCTATGTCCGTCTTGACTAGCAGACTCGTAAATATACCCTTCAACTCCGCTGATTCACTCTGTTTCAAAACGTCGGCGGTAAATCCATGACACCTTTGGTGCCAACAGTTTGGGCAATATCTGTCTCTAAGTGCGTGGTATAGACCATGACCATATCTAAGCCACCCGAATAGAGATGATGGCGGATATCAACTGCTTCTAGTCTCTATATCCTTAGAGTTACATAGGACCTATACAAGCGAGCACGAAGCTTGCTGGCACACTGACACCCCTGCCATGCCTAGGAGTAGCGAGGACCGCAACGGACGGAGCTGCATCTCGCGAGTTGATTCTTATGTAGTTTGGTCCACGATACGTAACACGTATGCCTCCGCAAGCACAGAGAAATCATAACCACCTAGGCTTCTCCTGACACTGTGGAGTGCGCTTGTAGATGCCCGGGATCTACCAGTATACCCAAACTCCCCATCTGTATTCCGGTTACGTTCTATGTTTCTTCGCCCCCCCCCCCCCCCCCCCCCCCCCCCTTTAAAACCGTTTTGTTAAAATTTTGTATAATGTAAGGCTCGTCCCCACCAGATCACAAAAATTTTTGGACTGACAGGATTCCTATTGTAGAAGTACGGTGTTAAAAGGCCCGTAGGAACATCACAAGGGGAGCCGCCATGCAAAATGATAAGCCTGCGAAACGCGAGTACGCCGGCCAGCAGTGTTACCACCCTGTTATTCCAGTGTCTCGTACCTACACGCGTAATTAGGCTTTGCTTAACAATCATTACCGTAGATGACAGATCTCAGCCACCTTCGGGTTATTGTTATACCCATACTGTAGAGCTTACCTACGAACTACTCGAGCATCTGCCTTTGTTAAGAGCAGGTGTTAGTGTACATAGATCTCAGCTCTTTTTTTTTTTTTTTCCCCCCCCCCCCCCCCCCCCCCCCCCCCCATCTAAGCCGTCTCTGCCACGCGGCCGTTTGCCTGAAGCCGATTATCACATGTCTCTCTATACGGCTTATTACAGTCGCCTGTGTAGCGCTCCAACCCCGCCGTAGCGTTCAGCGTCAATCGTACGTCTCGTCTGCTGCCTACCTTTCCACGGGGCCTGTCTCCCTAGAACAGTCCCCTCCAACCAATGCATGCAATGACTAAGAAAACACGACCGTTGAGCGAGGTCACATGTTAGAAGCCAAACGTTCCTGGCTCGTTCACTGGTGGTGACGGCTGGCTCACTCATCAACGGCCAGACGGACGGGTTCAACTCGCTAGAACTACCGGAGGCGATTGCCAGACGTGTCGGCCTAGGGAACTGCGGCTTTCCTCCCGAGGGTACAGGCAGGAAGGAGACGTCTGACAAGCTTTAAACCCAGGGGTAGCGAGGCAGCAAGTCGGGGTACATGGGTCAATAAGGCCACAGATGGACAAGAAATAAGGCGATGGGTGAAGGGGAGGGTGGAAGAGGGGACGAAGGGCGGGGGAGCAGGAGTAGGAGAAGGGCCCCGTGGGATATATGGCAGAGCCTTTAGTGCTTGAGAGAGTGAAACTGGAGGGATTTCTGACGTATTGGCAATATGCCATTCTATACGTGTAGATGGATGATGTTTTCGGTTCGGGCGAACGCCAAAGTCAAATATCGCCGACTCCCTCCTCCCATCCCCACCTGTTTGGTCTCAATAGTGTCACATACAGTCTGTGAGTGGTTGGTATTACCGTCTGGTCACACCGCTGCTCGTTCTCTAGGATACTGTCGTTTCCAAGTGTGTAGGTAGTTTATATTAGAGGAATAGCTAATGGGATGTTCTGGGTGGAAGGGAAAGGCGCTCTTCACCTTCAGCACGTTGGCATGTCACAGAAGAATATGGAAAGTAGTTGGGTAATCTAACCAAGAGTATTCCGACGCCATCAATGTTGACCTTCATTCAGACGACATCAATCATACTAATCACACTTGAACCCCCCCCCGACCATAAGCGAAGACCCTTAACGCCAAAGCAATTCCATATTCGTTCGTAGGTATAGGCAGCAAAGCTGGAACAATTGGCCGACTCAACCCACCCGCCAAAGGGCCGCCCTTGACTACTGATTCCAAAGCCCCTCCCCTCCTGCCCGTTCCTTGCCTCAAGTCAACATAACTAGTTGCACTGCGGTGCACTGTGGCTATCAACAGCTACTCAGATCTATGAGCTTGATGAAAGAGGTGCTCCATTCACCACGAGACACTTGCAACCACCTGTAAGGACCAAGTCACTGGATGAAGGCATACAGTAAGTGCATCTGCGACATCGTTCGGTGCACAAATTCAACAGCGGTGGTCTCTAACATCTGGCGTCGTCCGCGTAGAGGGCAGTGGCTTCGGATATGTTGAACAGGCTTCGACGATGTAAGGAACCTCCCCCCTTGCAAAGTTCCGAGTATGACTCGAAAGAGGGAAACTAGGGAGGATAGGTTACGATGGGTTGGTCGCGTGGTAAGGGTTATGGTGCGATGGACGCTGGGAGGGGATCGAGGCAAAGTGTTGGAGAGCTTGTGGGCTTCACGGAGATGGAGTCGAGAAAAAGGTCGAGGACCCTTTATACACAGGCCGAAGGGCTGTCGTAAACATAGCGGCTCAGTGGTGCAAGCCGCCCCTTTACGAGCCACGGTTCGCCCATTCTGTCCATGCCAGCGACCAACCAGGCGACCAACCAGCGGCCGCCCTATGGCAGTTCCAAGCAGAAGGCAAACCCCCGACAGCCTCACTGCCACATTCCATAGCGCCCCAGAGGTCTTATCGAGGCAGACCAAGTATGCAACGACGCACCTGCGCCTCTCCGTTGTTTAGGACGCCTTACGAAAAGGGGTGCGTCGCTCGCCTCACCTTGGGCGGGAGGATGCAGCCTGCTGATCCCTCGGGTTTTCGTGCATGCTTTTCAAGTAGAAGCTCCGCCTTGTCGACTTGGCTTCCAAAGCTGACGGGTGGCCCGCCATGACAGCAGTAACGGATCCGGCCAGTAGATGATCCGGCGCCGCCGCAACATAGACCGTATCAACACCCCTCGAGGCACTGTACTACGCATATCCCTCCTCGAACTTACCACAGCTGGCAGTGCGCGTCCACCACGGCCTCATCATGGCCTCCCTTACACTCGTTACCGAGGCCCTTTCGGCCTTCACGCCCGCTCAATGGTGCCAGATATTCTTCGGAGTCTCCTCGGCGACCATTCTGGCTATACAAATGATCCCCAAGGCTGCCCACCACCTGCTCCTTGATTACGGCCCGCGTTCGCTGACCAGTACCGGTGGCCAGGCGAAGGAGTCAGCTGGACCCAAGGGATCGAGTGTTTTCATCAGCATAGTCAGAGCGGTGGCCTCAGTTGGCCAGATCCCTCACTCATGGTTTATGCACTTCTACGTTGCGTCAGTCGCGAGCTCGGTTTTCTGGGCATGGCAGTATCTCCAGGGGGGCTCGGCCATCACATCTATCGCAGCGCAGCAGGCAGCTTCTGGAGCTCCGTCTATGAGCTTCGAGCAGACGGTCCTTGTCTGGGCGCTTATGGCTCTACAAGGTGGAAGGAGACTCTATGAATGTCTGTTTGTGATGAAGCCGGGGTCTTCCAAGATGTGGTTCGTCCATTGGCTGCTCGGACTGGGATTTTACCTCTGCATGGGCGTATCCATCTGGGTCGACGGTTCAGGCGAGTCTCTTTACGCCAGCCCCGCCTCCGGTTTTCACTGACCTTGCTTAGTTTCCCTACGAGAGACAACTAAGCCGGATTTTGGGAGACTGCTGTCGCCTGCCGCCATCGTCGGAACGGCTACGTACTTGTACGGCTGGACCAATCAGCACCTGTGCCATAAACACCTGGCCGGCCTCATGAAGTACTCGTTGCCAGACCGTGGCCTTTTCCGATATCTCGTCTGCCCCCACTACACCTGCGAATGCCTCATCTATCTGGGTTTTGCCATCACGGCCGCTCCGGAGGGCCAGTTCATCAACCGTACTCTCCTATGCGCCCTGTGGTTCATTGTTGCCAACCTTGGCACAACGGCTGACGGAACGAAGCAATGGTATGCGCAAAAGTTTGGGCCTGAAAAGGTGGCTGATAGATGGAGAATGATTCCGTTCATCTTCTAGGCGCACTTGAGCCGCAACGTCATTTCTTCCCAAACAACCCAAACTTGGCCCCAAGCTTCGAAACCTGCATCACATCGCGATACGTGAGGCTTGTTCTGGTTGCACGGATGTTTCGGCCGGCAGCGAAATCGGATCTCGATCGCAGGAGGTCCCAATTCGCAATATTCTCGGCTGAAAGTCCAATGTCCTCCTCGATATCGGCAATCCCATGTAGGAAATCGGTGTAAAGGTCATCAGTCGTGACAAGGAGGCTCCTAGGCTCCTGGAGAATGCGTCCCACGGGCTCCGGATTCAACCCGCCGTCTTCTTTGCTTTCGTAAAGGTTCAGGCACAGGCTTGCTCCAAGGCTGACAGTGCACACGACTGGATGATAAGCAGACCCGTCCTATAGCTAGTATGAGATTCAAAAGCTCCTCGCATAGACCACCTACCGTGTACTCAACTTATGCGGCATGATTCCAACTCCAGGAGGATACTCGTTAATCAATACATGGTTCGGCCGCTTGTGAGGGCTGTCGGCGAAGAGATTGGACGGTTCAGAACCTGCGACAAGAGGCAAGGAAAGAATTCGCGAGACCACGGGCTCTTGAAGCCAGTATGGCAAGGCAGCGTCAATCAGCTTGTTGTTGACGAGATCAGACGGCCACGTTTGAAGACGTCGATGAGTCAGTTGTTTCCAGCGGGGTTTCGGCGCATCAGCTATCTGTTGCGTGAAGAGGGCCGATTAATAGCCGCAATTGCGAATGGGGAACATATCCCCCCCCTTTTTGAGAGGGGGGGGACAGAGGCATCTTACCTTTTGCAACAGAAACTGTTCCTCCTCCTCTGATATAAAGTTTGCGATGTAAAAAGACGACGGCGGTAGCTTCTTGATCCTGACGTCGTCCAGGGAGGCTGGCAGGTTCACAGCTCTCGAATCCATAGTGGCAGGCTTCGCCCCACGTATGCGATGGGGCGCAGGTGGTGCGATTTGGCGCTGCGCTCAACCTTGTGTATGGGAAATGCCCAATAACGTACGTGACTTGTTGCTGATGTGGATGGCGAAGTCGAAAAAATCGGCATGAACGAGGGGTACCAGGTCAATCGTCAAGCGTGTGAGCTCAAGCTCCGACTGGAACGTGGTGGGTGTGGGGAGCCCAGCACCTACTAGTAATTAGCCAAGCGCCAAACGCCAAACGGCTCTGGGTTAAGCTAGGAGGTGGAAGAGGAGACGAGAGCGGGAAGGTCATGTGGGGAATCGACGAAAGGAGCTGGAAGCGGAAGAAGACGTGGTGCCTTGATTGCCTCACGTCGAGCCAGTTTTGCCAGTCGCTTTGCAAGTCGTCGCAGGCAGGCAGGCAGGCAGACGAGGGACGAGGGTGTGTTGGGTGGCGTCGGAACAAAGGAAGCAAGAACGGGACGCTTGCTCCAAGGGGCGCTAGAGGAAACCAGGCGCCGGCAGGTGTTAGCCACGGCAGATAGGATTGCATGACCGTCAAGTGTCCGTTCCCAGTCACACCGGTGCGGCGCTGCTCAGGCTGCCATATGTCGAGAGCTCTCTGTTTCCAGGCTCGATTATGATTCGCTGTTTGAATTCGAGATGCGACGACGGGGGAGGGGAAAAGGAGGAGCCAGTTACGACGCTGGGCTCTGAAGGTGGTTGGGATTGGCCGAGGTTGGGGGCATTGGGAAATCGAAGGCTTCGGTACGTAACTTTCGGGTAGCACCAAAAGGTCAGACCTGCAGTAAACTGGGATGGCTTGAGGTTTCCCACCCAGGTACCTACCCAGACACCTACCTACATAGTATCCGTACACGTAAGTATGATGCACGATGTAGGCAGGTATGGGGACAGCGAACTAGGTAGTAGTATGGAAAGACCAGGCCAGCAATGCTGCGGGGGGATGGTTTTGAATTGAGATCTTGAGGACAATTTCCGACGGCTGACCGTCCAGGGTCAGGTGGTTCATCATGCACCTGGCGGTGCTGCTTGCAGAGCCAGAACCAAAACCAGAGCCAGAGCCGGAGCCGGAGGCGAAAAAGGAAAAGAGAGATTAGCGTCGCTATCTCTCAACCTTCCATGTAAGTACCTATCTTTCTGAAGCAAGGCGGGTGCCGGGGCTAATTCCAGGTGGTATCCTCGCCCATCCTCGTTTTAGGGGTGTATATCGACGGTACCTGCCTCCTCAGCAAACGACCGCCCATCACCCAAGTACCTCGAAATCCAGTTTCGTACTAAATTATGTGGCCTAGTTCTGACTGCATGTGTGAGCGTCGTGGTGCCCACCTCAATCGTCAGGCTGCCATTGCTACACTACTGACTGACACCGCCGCCGCTACTACCAGGTGCAGGCTCTCGACTGCCTGCCTGCTGTCGGTGCTCCTGTCTGTCCCGTGTCCCAAAGCCCAAGTGTCCCCCCTCGGGTCCAATCAAAGATGTGGCGATCAGACTTTTGACTCCGACGACCTCTCGCGGCCCCATTTTCTCTACCTTCAGCCATACCGAAGCGTCGAGCGTCACTGCCAGAGCCTTTTTTCCGCATTACTTACCCACGCCGCGTCCATCGAGCCCATACGCATTATTCCCACTCGGCCAGGCGCTTTCTTTGTTTTTTTTTTGTTTTTTTTTTCCCTTTCATCGTCGACGTGATCCAGTCTCTACTACATCCCACTCTACCACCCGCCATCGACACTCGACGCCTGCTTCGCGCGCCCCCGTGACTGCCCTACCCAATTTCTATTAGGGGGTGTCGTTCCACCGACTGAGGAATCGTTCACCGGCCACAATCAATTCAATCAGCACTCTCGACTCTCTTTCTTTTGGCCGACCCTTGGCCAGGATGGTGCTGGCCGGTTTTTCGACCTCTAGATAAATGATATGGATGCGCAGAATGCTGCCGGGTCCGACAAGCCGAAGCCCGTCGCTGCTGCGGAGAAGCGACCGGGCAGTCACCAGCCTGACGAGTCCAGAGAGTCAACCGAGTCCAACAGCAAACCTGCAAAGGCTGCGGACGAGTCCATCAAATCTCCGCCTCATCTGCCCAAGGACATCAAGTCTAGCGTAATCGTATCGCGCGCTCCCCCCGCCGCCGACGACGCTCCTGCCGACCGAGACTCGGATGCCGAAACCATCGTGTTGCCTGGTAAGGATGGTCACTCGCCCTCCAAGGTGAGGAAGGTAAAGCACGAGGATCGCAGCGATGGAGAGCCCCCGCCCCCCCCGCTCCTCCGCAAAATCCGTGATGCCAGTGCTAGCAGAGACGGCGACAAAGAGAAGATGGCCGATCCTCCCCGCCTGTCCGAAATGGCCTCCTCGCTCGGGTTGAAGAAGAAACGCATCCACGATCAATCCGTGAGGAGCAAAGACGGTTCCAGTGGCCTCAGCTCGGCTCCAACCTCGCCTCCCCACCACATGCGTCGACCTGGTGGGCACTCCGACACCGACACGGGTGCTGACCGTAGGAAATCCCCCAAGCTGTCTATGAAAGACCGCGCCAAGTCCACCGATAGGACGATACCCCACAAACGCAAAGCTCCCAGGGCAGACTCGGAGGACGAGGCGGAAAATCGAAAGGCCCGACGGCAACGCATCATCGCGGACCACAACAGTGGCGTCGAATCTCGCGCGAACCGCCTGTCCAAGGAGCCAAAGTCCTCCTCTTCATCCAAGAGGGAACACGACGGCCACTCAAGCTCACGCACCAGATCCGTATCTCCCCACCAGCCACGTGCCCACCGGCGGAGCGTTTCGACGCAGCTGCCTGCAAACTCTTCCAATGGCCTGAGTCACAAGAAGAAGCGCTTGCCTCCCCCTCTGCAATCAACTGATTACCATTCCGACGAGTCCTCTGCCAGCGGCAGCCCTCATCCTCGGAGCTCCAAGCTTCGCAACCTTTCCACGCCCGCCACCGCTGAGTCAAACATGTCACCCGCCAAGATTGCGCCGCACAAGAAGCACCTCGACGCACACGGCCAAACTTTCCTTGCCAGAGCGTGTGCTAGAGGCGAATACGACCTTGCTAAGCAGAGACTGGGGGAGCGACCCGAAGACCTCAACGTAGCTGATTACGCTGGCAACACGCCACTGCAGATCGCTGCGATTAATGGTTACGAGGATATCGTGAAGCTCCTCATCGACGCCGGCTGCAACCTGGACTGCGTGAACTACGACAAGGACACACCGTTGCTGGACGCCGTCGACAATGGTCATTTGGGAGTGGTAAAAATGCTCCTCAATGCCGGAGTCAATCCTCGGAAGGCCAACTTGAGTGGCGAAGAACCTTTGGATCGAGTAAGCGATGAACTGGAGAACGCAGAAGAGTTCCGGGCTGCGCTCGTCGAAGCAAAATCCAGACAGGGTGATAGAAGGCGCACATCCGAGGACCACCATCAGACCGACCACCCCGACAGTCGATCCTCTCACGGGCCAGACAGCCCTCGACGATCACCGGCACCCTCGGCTGCTCACGCAAGTGGGCGTCGGGCCGGTACTGTAAGGGCAAACAAAACGAGCAACCACTTACTGTATATGTCACTAGACGACAAGACACTTCGACAAGCTGCTGGCAAGGGAGACGAGGAGACTGTGACACGGATTCTGCAGGTCAAGGATGGTTGCGACGATTCGGAAGCCATGGTTGCGGCTGCTCGAGGTGGCCACGAGGTGGTTATTCAGCTCCTGCTCGCATTGGGCGGCGCAAACCCAGATCCTGCTCCCGTCTCGAGCATGCCGCCCGAGTTTGCAACACCCATGCTGGCCGCGATTGGTCAAGAAAACATCAAGGTTGTTAGATTGCTCTTGGATCAGGGCAACTTCGACCCGACGCGGCGGTTCAAAGGCGAGACATACTACGAGATTGCCCGACGCCGACAAGGAACGAACTGGAAGGACGAGGAGCACATGCTCAAGGAAGCTTACGATGCGTACCGAAAGTCGCATCGCGACATCGCCAAGACGAAATCTCCGAACAGGCGCGAGCGTGAAAAAGAGCGCGAAAGGGAGCGGGAAAGGGAACAAGACCGTGAGACGAAGCGCCAGGGCCGCAACGAACTCAAAGACGAAGCTCGGCCACACAAGCGCAACCTTTCTAGCCCCCCACGCGATCCGGAGAAGAGGAAAAAACTCTCCACTCGAAACGTCACCAGTCCGAAAGAAAAGCGACGGGCTGACTCCTTCCACGACGACCAGGCTTCACCAAAGCGTGGTCCTGGCAGACCTAGAAAAGAGGACCGATTGCCAACGATCGCCGTATCAGACCGAGAGGCATCCCCCGCACTATCGCAGAAGCAATCAGTCAAATCTGTGAAACGAGCAGAATCCGACGTTGCTGCCATGTCGTCTGAAGGGGAGGCTGCCAAACCTCGTCGGAAGTTGGTCTCCAAGGGGGAACTCCGCGGTGAGAGAGAGAAAAATCGACGCGCTAGTATGGTGTCCACCACTTCATCCATTAAGGACCCTTCAAGCCCTCGCGACCCCAAGCACGACGACCATCCCGAGAAGCCAAAGGGTGAGCCCCTGTCAGAAAAGTACCACGATCGCACCAAGGCTCTCAAGAGGGACGAGTCTAGAGACCGGCTTTCTGTTTCAGGCGACAACTCTTCCAAGAGACACCGGTCCAGCGTCACTCCGCCCCATTCGAGCATGGGCGATAAAGACGAGGGCGAAGCTCCCGTGAAGCGAAGGCGACTCGATATCGACGGCAAAGAGCGACGACCAAAGTCGACAGCATCTCCCGACGACCCCCACCGAGCTTCTCGCGACGCCCCCCTGCGATCTAAGTCAAGTTTGAGGGATCAGGATGACAGCGATCGCAGACCGTTCAAACCCAAGGCCGACCCTGAAGGTCACAGAAGGGAGTCCGGCAAGTCCAGCAACAGCGATAAGTCCAGCATTCACGTCAAGTCTGAGGATGTTGACACGGATATGCCTGATGCGTCAGAAGTGAAAGACACGATTGAAGCGGATTCGCGTCTGAAGAAAGACCGTGAAGAAGAGAAGAGACGCCTGGAAGAGAAAGAAAGGCGACGGGAGGAGAAGCGTCAGGAGGAGAGGAAGCGCCGGGAGGCCGAGGCGGAGGAAGCTCGCAAGAAGGAAGAAGAACGCCGACAGCGGGAGGCGGAGGAGAAGAAACGAGAAGCCGAGCAGAAGCGGCTGAGAGAGGAAGAGGAGGTCAAGCAACGCGAGGAGCAGGAACGCAAGCGTAAGATTGAGCTGGAAAAGAAGCGGCAGGAAGAGGAGCTGCGGCAACGGCGCGAGGCCGAAGAGAAGAAAAGACGCGAAGAGGAGGAAAAACGGCTTCGCGAGGAGGAGGAAAAGAAGCGGCGCGAAGAGGAGCTGAAGAGAAAGGAAGAGGAAGCCCGGAAGCAGCGGGAGGAAGAGGAAAGGCTTCGTAAAGAACAGCTGGAGCGCGAGGCTGCTGAAGAAGCGCGTCGTCTCCGGGAAGAGGAGGAGCGCAAGGAGCGTGAACGAAAGGAACGTCTCCATCGCGAGGAGATGGAACGCAAGCGGGTTGCCAGAGAAGCCGAGCAGCGCCGGATCCTCGAGGAACAAGAGCGTTTACGTTTGGCAAAGCTACCTCCTCTGTTACGCTGGTTGGACAGTTGCCCCAACCCCAAGACTCCCGAATTTGCGGCCAAGTTCAAGCACATGCAGGGGGTGCGGTACGACACCATACGCCCGGAAGCTACCGGCACGGCCGATGGCCGAGAGCAGTGGGTGCTCAACACTCATGTTGCGCTGCTTCTTGGAGAAAAGGATCTCGCCTTATCAAGATGTAAGTGCCCCCAGCGCGGGACAAATCCAGGATATCACTAACAACAATCCAGACACTGCTTGGGAACACATCCCCGTCTCGGATGTCGCCAAAAAGGTTATCTGGAGACTCGAGTCAGACCGGTATGCCCTGATCAGCGAGGGCCTCTACGAGCTCGGAGCCGGTTTATCGGATTACTACGGCGAAGGCCAGGGCCCCTTTAAAATGAGCTACCGCACGAAGGAAAGGCTCCGTGGCGAAGCAAGGGAGAAGTTCCTGAAGTTGGACATGTTCTTTGTCAAGGTAAGTGCTACATTCCGCCCCTTGCAAGTGGGATAATGACGAACGTGTCTTTAGGTGTCGGACTTGATGTTCATTGTTCCGAGTATCCCTCACCTCCGGAGTCTCAAAATGAGCGTCGAGTATCGCGAGCTCCCAGAGGATGAAGGCCAACTTTACGGATGGAAGGTCCCGCAAAAGTGGAAGGAAGATCCGGACGCTGACCGATTTTATGGATTCGCGCCGAGGAACAAATATTACATCGACGGTGTCATGGTCGAGGAGCAAAAGCCCGGAATGTCTGCCACAAGTAACACTCCCTTTCCCGAGAAACGGGTCCCTCGAAAGGGATTGCAGCAGGTTTTCCCGGGCGACCCCGACTATGCTCGCGTTTGCAAAGAACAGGGGCTGGAGCACCTCTTGAACGGCACGAACCCCCCGGCGGCGCTGCCTAATGGCGGGCATTTGTCGCCGAGAAGCCAGTCGAATGCTACGGAGTCATCGGTCGAGCCGTCGAATGGCTCCCAAGCTCTTGTTCCTGGCCCGGCGCCCGTGCCGGCGCCCGCTCCTGTACCAGTATCGACTGAGCCCAAGCTTTTACCGAACGGAGTTAACGGCGTCTCAGTTTTGGATTCCAACTGAGTTGAGTTGATTCACGAATTAGATCACACGAGTCACACTATTTAATATACAACAATGCGCATGCCTCGCAGTAACGCCCGGAAACGATACATGATTAACCATTGGAGTCAGCAGAAGTCTCCGAATCGCGGTTGAGCATCTGGTCTAGCTGTCGTGTCGCTACTCCTTGCGGCTACGGTTCTTCGAACCGATCGACATATAGGCTTCGAGACGTCGCTGGGCTCCCGCGCTAGCTCCAACGGCTTTGGATGACGGAGCACTGTATTTATGGGACAGCCGTTTGCAGTATTTGTAAAGACGAGGAAATAAGACGTGCCTATTTGTGGGCAAACGATGGACGAAAGACGGTCACGGCTTGAAAATGTTGGAAGCAGGGCTGGGTGGTCTGGGATGGGGTTTCCAGGCGTAAAACGTAGATGATGAAAACAAACCATTCAAAACGCACCATTCTCCCTATCTCTCTACTGATAAGCCCGTAAAATTTTGACATCTCACGACGCTCGCTGTTTGAACATTTGCTGGGACGCAGGGCTGAGATCGCGAAAGACTTTTTGAGTTAGAATGAATCTGGCTCTGACATCACCAACGAGGACCCAGGCGACCCGACCAATGAGAGCCGCCGAGACAGCAAAAAAATGGACGGCCGCCCCCGCCAAAATTTTTATACATTGTATGTGCCTTTGGCACCGCCGCGCCCCTCCCCGCCGTTTGCCCCCCCCCCCCCCGAAAAACCCACCACCACAAAGCCACCAGCTTGCCAGGACGTTATCACCAACCCCAATCCAATCCAGTTCAAATCCTCCGTCGTTCCACCCTAAACCCGGACAGCCGTTTCCTCTCTTTTGTTCGCCGATTGCGTCTGGAGAACTTGCGCATCTGAGAGAAAGAAGATAAAAACACCAACACGAAAACGCATCACGAACACATTCGACGAGCCTTCTTTTTCCTTCTTTTCCTATTCTTTGCTCCGTGATACCCCACTCTCTTTTCCGAACTTGCGCTACATCAGATCTACAGTCGGCATTCGACGCGCGCGCTGAATAGGCCAGGACGGTTTTCGGTCCCAACCTAGCCCTTCCATCGAGTAGCAGCGTCTTCGGGACGAGGAAACCGCAACCATGGCGACTACGGTGGACAAGGTATGTTCGGCCTCATGGCCCTCTGCTTCGGGCCCTCGGGCCCTGCCGTACTTGACACCGCTTGCTAACCTATGGATCGCGTACAGATCAAAGATATCGAGGCCGAAGTACGTTTTCAACCCCTCCTCCATCATCATTGTCCTTCTCCCCACGACTCCTCTCGCGATCGCCTGTCGTCAATGACGTCGAATGGCTCCCTCGAAGCCCCTCAGCTGATCCGGCGAGGGCTTGCTCCTCCCCTCGCGGCGTCGTCGACAGCACCCTTATCTAATAATCAGCACCTCGAACCCCCTTCAGGTCACACACATGAACCTCATGAAGAGACGAGGAAAGCTTCAGGAACCTGGACTAACCATGAAACCTCTTCTCACAACAGATGGCCAAGACCCAAAAGAACAAGGCCACATCCTTTCACTTGGGTCAACTCAAGGCCAAGCTTGCCAAACTCAAGCGTGAGCTGCTGACGCCCTCGGGCGGCGGCGGCGGCGGCGGTGCCGGCTTCGATGTCGCGCGCACGGGTGTCGCGAGTATCGGCTTCATTGGCTTCCCGTCCGTGGGGAAGAGTACGCTCATGAGTAAGCTAACCGGCCAGCACTCTGAGGCCGCCGCCTATGAGTTCACGACCCTGACGTCCGTCCCTGGTCAGGTCACCTACAACGGTACGAGAGATCCTTGTCCTACATGGACGTGAGCAGAGTGAGACGAAAGTGGAAAAGAATCAGGAGACTGACAAAGTGTGCTCAGGTGCGCCGCTGCAAATCATCGACTTGCCCGGTATCATTGAAGGAGCCAAGGACGGTCGCGGTCGTGGTCGGCAAGTCATCGCCGTGGCCAAGACGTGCCATCTCATTTTCATCGTGCTCGACGTCAACAAGCCCCTGACGGACAAGCGCATCATCGAGACAGAGCTTGAGGGCTTTGGTATCCGCATCAACAAGAGCCCGCCCAACATTACGTTCAAGAAAAAGGAGAAGGGCGGTCTCAACATCACGAGCACCGTGCCGCTGACGCACATTGACCACGACGAGATCAAGGCCGTCATGAACGAGTACCGCATCAACTCGGCCGACATCGCCATCCGCTGCGACGCCACCATCGACGACCTCATTGACGTCCTCGAGGCCAAGAGTCGCAACTATATCCCCGTCATCTACGTGCTCAACAAGATCGACGCCATCAGCATCGAGGAGCTCGACCTGCTGTATCGCATCCCTAACGCCGTGCCCATCAGCTCCGAGCAGGGTTGGAACATTGACGAACTGATGGAGGCTATGTAAGGACTATTTCTACCCCCCATCCTCCTTTTGCTTTCGAGGCCCCCCTCCCGGATGGATGCCCCCCTGAGCGGCAGCACAGCCGAGACAATGCCAAGGCTTATTATTGTACTCTGGAACATTGAACTTGCAAGAACCCAAGAAGCTGACAATCGGTCCTTACTGGCGCGTAGGTGGGAGAAGCTACAACTCGTTCGCGTCTACACCAAGCCCAAGGGCAAGCTGCCGGATTACTCCCAGCCCGTGGTGCTTCGATCGAACCGGTGCACAGTCGAAGACTTTGTGAGTACTGACCTCGTCATTTCTGAGGCAGCCTCCGACAGCCTCCCTGATCAACACGGCGCGAGCATCCTTTCCCGTCTGAGACGAGGGGTTGTGTTGCATCGCTTGCTCGTTTGCTTTAATCAAGTGCTGACTGAAACGTTTCCTCTTCACAGTGTAACCAAATTCACAGGAGCATTCTTGAACAGTTCAAGACTGCCATTGTGTACGGTAAATCTGTAAAGCATCAGCCTCAGCGCGTCGGACTCGCCCACGAGCTAGCCGACGAGGATATCGGTGAGACTCTTTGTCCTGTTACCCCCTCCTTCTTCCTCGGTGTCAAGGCGTCCTTGCTCTCATGCTTTTTATTCGGCCATTTGACCCGGTCGAGGAAAAAGAACCGGGCCAAGAGAGAGAGGCAAATGTGACTAACATCTGTTGACTTTAGTAACAATCGTCAAGCGCTGATGAACGCGGCAACAAGCTAATCTGCGCATGGCGACCGCGTTGTCGCCATGCCCCACGTCAGGTGGACAAGGCGCCGGGCGAACCCCCTTTGGTGGGAGAAAAAAAAACAATAACAAGCCATTTGCTTCTTTTCCTCGCCTCCCCTCCCCTCGAGGTCTCTTCTGGACCCCGAGGTCTTTTTTCTTGCTCGCTGCGACCTCAGTCGACACTGGTTCTACAACACGGCGTGCAATATCCAAACAGTTTTCAGCAATTTGAAGTGGCAGGTATCCACACACACATACACACACACACATGTGCGTAGCCGGTCAGTCCGGACCATGTGCTGCCAACTGCAACTCGGAGACTGCCGCCATATTCGGGACAGGGGTGAGTTGTGGTGATGGTGGTGCCACTGCGTATGGGCACGCGGCCGCAAGCTGTCCGGAGAGCGTTATCTGGTTATCTACCTACTTTTGCCGCCCAAAGGAGATGGGCACGAGAGGGCGATGTTGGGTCAGTGAAGCAGCGTTCTCGCTCTAGCATTATAGAAGAGGAGGAGATGCAAAGACAAAAGGAGAAAAAAGTAAAAGGGGGGCCGAGGAGGAGGAACCTGGCTTGCGGAGTGTTGGCTTAATTGAAGCGGCTTCTGGACTACATCTCCACAGTTTTTTAGTTTCCCCCCCCTCTTGTCCGTCATTGCGCCCCCTGAGAGGAACGCTGTATGTGTGATGTTATAGCTTCGGGCTAGTCGTGTTGCGTCAGAATTGTGAAGTCAGGGCCGTTGGGCACTACTACTACGTAAGCTGCCCGGCGGAAGAGAGTGCCTGACTTGTACAAGCTTCGCCCGGTGTCGTATCTGTGTGTAGGGATGGCACTGGCTGGGCCCAGAGCCTCGCTAAACGCCCAAGAGTTGTTGTCCCCGTTGTCGCTCTCGCGTGCCGTTATCGTCATAACCAACGTGATCACGGATGGGGACGGACTAGCCGTGAGCCATTCGGGCGCACCCCACACATTGCCACCATTCGGTGTCGTCGGCCAGCAAGTGGTATGAAGGAAAGATCATAGACGGCCTGCATAGCCGAGGGTCTTTGTTTCTGCGGCCGCACTTTTCCCAGCAGAAGCGCAGGGTGCATATCCTGTCTGCAAGAAGCACCACATGCCCGCGCGGTGCTTGGGTGCTCTGCAATGCCTCCGCGCGGGACAAGAGGGTGGGTGGGAGAAGCATGCAGCTTCAACGCCCACATCCTGTTCCTGTTGCATGGGCTGGCAAGAGCGGGCAGATGTTTGGGCGAGCCGGACGGGGGACCCCCTGGAACGAGGACAACGTCGGCGCTTAAACCAGAGCCAAAATGGCACCCTTCTCCCCCCTCTCTCTCTCTGTCTGCTGCCACGCTCATGGATCTGCGTCGAGAAGGGATCCGATACCGCTTGTGCCAATGCCTTTCACTGCGAATCCTGATGAGAATCGTCCCCGGCGGGATACTAGTAGTCCCGTGCCTGTATCTTGCTTACTCTGTGAAAAGAAGGTGAGCGGGGGAGCTTTGGGATCAGCCAGACGCAAGCCGCCCTCCCCATGACCACCTTTCACAAGGCTTGCTTTACCGCCCATGTCAAGCATATTTTGTTCTCGCGCGGTCCCGGTTTTCTTTCTTTTCCTTTTTTTTTATCGCCGGGAGGATGTGTCAGTTAAGGATGGATCCACCACGCCCCCTTCCCAAGCGAGCCGTGATCTCATAATCTCATTTTCATCTTATCCGAGGAAGACGACTGGGAGAGGTCCCGAGTCCGCGATATGTGACGAAGGGAAAAGAGGGGATTGCAGAGATTATGGTAGCAGCGAAAAGTCGCCGGACGATCTTGGCTTCTTGTCTCGACACCGACTCGAGATTACCCACGCGCAGATGAATGTATCCGTGCCTTGCAGCAGATACAGATGAGGCGAACGATGGACGATAGGACACAGACCACGGGAGAACGGCTGCAGGGAAGGCGCGCGCAGGGGCAACACAGACCGACGGACGGCGGCGGATGCTGCGCTGCGATGTTGCTCGCGCTGACTAGGTCCCCTGCTTACTCCAGGGCGACATGAATCAACCAGCGCAGGCTGGAGGAGGGGCTCGGGAATAAGTAAGCTGTACGGATACTGGCGCAGCTATCATCCCCTTCGGGAGGCTTGATGGCGAGGGCTAACTTTGAACGTGCCGTGTGTGCATACACAGGATGGTTAGCATGAAGCCTTGGCCCGGGGTCGTGTGCCACCGAAGGCCCATATGGTAGGGCAGTCGTCTTAAGTTGGATGACCAACTGGCAGGCCATGGGACTCGAACGGGACCGTCTCCGCAGTCATGTTGGGACGTTGATATTTCAACGTCGATTTTTGCGATCATGGGTTCTCAAGGACAAGTTCTGGGGAATGATGCGCGGCAGAAATTGGGTATTCGGCGTCGAAAGCCACTAGCATGGGCCTTCCTTCCTAGCTGTATCCAGAAAACCCGGGGGTGCAAATCGAGATAAAGCTTCCATTCGCTGCTGCAATAGTCCGTTTCAATGCCGTTTTGATGAATCCCGTTACCCATCTAGAACGTCGGTGATACGATGCGAGGATGGGTCGTTGAAATGAGACTTTCTCTTCGTTCTCTTTGAACTGTCCATTCCGACATGTCCATCAATCATGTACGTAGATTGCCAGGCACTTTCGTAAGATTGTTTCCACGACTGGTGCGAACTCAATGTTGAGCGATCAGATACTGATTCGGGCAACGTTCGAGTCGGTTTAGTCTAATGTTCCGCCAGCCTAGGCTAGGATGTCGCCGGAAGGGCCCGCTTCATATTAAGAACGGCGCATGTTGCGGGCCAACGCGGGTGGGTGCTGGTCGACCCTGGGCTATGCCCCAATCGCAATAGCATGTACACTTCGGCCAAGCGCCTAAGCTCTCTAGGATGAAAACATCCTTCCGAGAGGTTTGGCCAGATCCTTCCTCGAGAGCCTAAGTGGGTAGATGGTTCAGGAGGTTCTTGCATTCAACAACTGTCCAAATGGGAATCAGTCCGCGACGAATTGGCTTCGCCGGAACCGCTTCAAGCGCGAATAATGCCTCCTGACCAATGGTAAGTGCGGTAAAGTCTGATGAAACCAAGAATTTGGTCCAATGAGAATGCTAAACACGATCTGAGCGTTGCTATTGGCCAGCAACAACCCTCCAATATCTGAGCTTGGATCCCAAACGGTGCATACGCTTGTCTCGTGGCTTGGAAAAGGGAATTCGGTGACCTTGTGGGGATATAGCTCCCTAGATGTGACGATGGTGCTGCAGAGCGCACGAGAGGCATCAGGGTTCTACGGTGTGAACAAGTGGACCGTTGCTGGCGATAATGCCCTAATGATTGCCCTCTGGCTAGGTAATTCGAGACGGAACATACCTGTCTCGAGGCCCGTTCCATGACAAGCTAGCCAGATCTGTCAAATTGCATCGAAGCTGTTTGTTCTCCCACCGCATGACCACAGGACTGAGGTAAGTGGACCACACAAAACTGACCAAATGGACCGACAATCTTAGCGACCGCAAGTCGTGTTCAAGACAGGACGTAGCTCTTCAATCACGGTCCACGATGAATACGACGAAGGTGGATGTCTGATTAATGGAAGTCAAAGCCTCGCAACAAGACCCTGTAGGAAACCGAGCACCGATGGCCTAGAGGGTGCGTCATGGTGCTTCAGGTAGGCCTTTAGCCCAATACCAGGTAGCATCAAGGCTCCATGAATTGTCATGGACATCCGCATATCAAACTCGGGATGTGAGATTAATGCGTTTGATTTGAAGGCTCACGCACGTTTTGGTGTAGGACGAGGCGTGGTATTCCACCAGACTGGGGAAGCCCCTCCATGGCCGAATGCATTGATCGGCACAGCCTGCCGTAAGGGTTTATGCTGGCAGCTCTGCCAGGTTAAGTCGACTTCACTTGGCCGAGGCTGACAAAATGGTATGCTGTTTTGATTATTGCTTACAAGTTACAAGGAGCTGAAGGTTGCTTACCGTAGCCGAAAGCGATAACAGTCCGTGGGGAAACGACCGGGTATCCGTCTGCGAGAGATGTTTGTTATAGGGCCATGAGGCCACACCCCCTCCCTCAATGCTCAATGGTGCCTTTGGACACCAAGAGGAGTGTGGGACATCGGGGTTGCCCCTCCGCCCCTGGTAGCAGAGTAGGGCAAGGATGGGGTCAGGTTGCCGGCAGACCATCCTCAAAGCCTCAATCGATGGCTTGGCAGCTTCGATGAAGGGCGAAATGAAGTGGAAACGAGGTGATGTATCAGCGTCGTGTGTTGGAGAGAGTGACCGGAGAAGGGCGTACCAGCCGAAGGGTAGTTTCGTAGCTAGTGCTGGGTTATGCGCACATGGTTTCGATGCAGAAGGGGGGTGTGGTGGTGGTTGTGGTGGTGATGAGGTGAGGAGTCGATATTTGACAGAGCTGGCTGGGGCTTTGCTCAAAACGGGACCTGATCGGAGGTTCATGTGGTGCAAAAAAGCGCTCTTCTGTTACATTATTCGCGCAGTTGTTTGGCCTCGTATTCTTCGAGGGAGACAGTATAGCGAACCGAGGCAATGACGAATTGTCGGTCAGAACGGTATCCGTAGCAGGAGTGTCAGATGATGAAGTCGTTGAGTGGATGTGGTTCTAAAAGGTCAAAGTAGGTGCGTAATTAGATAGTTACTGAGTAGGTAAGATGTGTCTGAGCGGCTGGGTGGAGGCAGGTATCTGGAAGACGTCGAATAGAATTGTACCAAGCCAATCAGCTAAGGTGGCTGGAAGGTAAGAAAGTTGGAGCTCTGATCCTGTCAGGGTCTGCAAGTCAGAAGTAAGCCTCCTACTGGTTCTTTTCGCAACCCCCCGGCGACGACAGCCTTCGACCAGAGAACGCTTGTAAATCGTTCGGAGCGTTGAAGCAGGGAGTGGTGGCTAGAGGAGCTAGAGCTTCATGAGTCGCAACGATGGAAGAATCATAGGCATCAGTGTGGCGGGGGGAGAAGAAGCAAGCAGAGGATAACCCCTCGTGGACCGGGGGTGTCGGTCGGGTCCAAGCTTGGCTTTGCCTCTGCAGTCTCCGTCCTCTAATGGACCTTGAGAACCATCCGGTCCAGACGACCTACACAAAAGAATCCGGGCACGCCACGGGATCAACCACCCACCTTGGCCTGGCTACCGATGTAGACAATCCTTTGGCATGTCCACCGGTGCGCCACGAGCGTACGTTATGGTATTCACTATAGCCGGTTACCACGGACGATCTTAGACATCTTTAACTAATCCTGTGTAATACGTGAATATAATTATATTCTAGGTGAGGCCGGTGATGTACTAAGAATATATAGCTAGCTTGCCCTGACCATCATTCTGCTGATCCGCTTAGCGAGCGGTTTGATCAACGCACCTGTCTGAAC